CCAATTTCACAGGGTAGTACATGCACTCTCATAGTGTGAAGTTATGTAATATATTTCACCCAAGCAGAGGCTTAGCTAGGTGAGTTTGCTTGATGCCGACTCTATGAGCGCGGTACGCTAGGTAGTTTAAACAAATGTACAAGCTACATCTGAGCTGGATTACTGCATTATACACAGTCAAAGCTAAGAGACTACTGTTCTGCTTTCATGGCTGGTTCAACAATAGGGCTGGTAAGTAGGTCACCAACCAGTTCTATGGCTCGTGCAGGTTTTATTGAGCCGTAGAACTGATTGGTGACCTACTTACCAGCCTATATTCTATATCGATTTTGTGTTACCATAATTACCGCCCCTTCCTCCAACAATTTACAAAGTGGAATGGGGGGGGGGGGGGCGCTGTTTAGTAAATGAGGCTAACTATAAACAGCAGCAAAGGATCGCAAATTTGATTGGTTGCCCCAGGCACTGTGTGTTTCGTTACTCCTATGCGTTCACTCTATACCTTATCTCAATTAAAGCTCATAATAAAATACTTAAAAAAAACTTTTTAAAAAACCACGTTTTTCTTGTGGACTAAAAAGTAGAAAATAACTATTTACATACATTTGATGACAAAAAACGTGGGTCGGGCAGATGGGTCGGGAAATTTGATGGTGAACGTACCCACGTTTTTTGTCATCAAATGTATGTAAATAGTTATTTTCTACTTTTTAGTCCACAAGAAAAACGTGGTTTTTTAAAAAGTTTTTTTTAAGTATTTTATTTTCTACTTTTTAGTCCACAAGAAAAACGTGGTTTTTTAAAAAGTTTTTTTTAAGTATTTTATTTTCTCCTTTTTAGTCCGTTGCTACACATGAAAAACGTGGTTTTTAAAAAAGTTTTTTATATAGTTTATTTTCTACTTTATCTAATGACTTGATTAAGTATGAATTGACTAAGTGTTTATAAATACACGGACTAAAAAAATCTTGAGCGACCAGGATTCGAACCTGGGTTGTCGCGGCCACAACGAGAAGTACTAACCACTATACGATCACGGCCAGCGCGCTCACATCGATTGGGGCCGAAGTAACTGTGTCGATAAGCCTCCAGTCTTGTCGGTATCTTTAGAAATCATGTCCTCAATTTTATGGTCCTTGGGGCGTAATTAAATTAAGCTAATTACGGTCTCTAATTGCTAGTTTTTATGATTGCATCTGAAATTGTTAGGCGAAAGTAGCATGCATGCCAAATTTCAGGTCTATAGAGCAATCAGAAGTGGGCTAATTTTCGATGTCAATTTTAACAACAAACACACGCGAAGCTGAGTTAATAAAAACGTGTTAAAAAATGTGCTAGATACATCTTCATGTTGTTTATCTCCGGATCTATTGCATTTATCTTTGCATATGTCACAAAGGAGACAGTGTGGCCTAAGCAGTAGAGCGCTCGGCAGCTAACCTGAAAGTCTCGAGCTCGAATCCCGGTCAAAGTCAGTAGAACGTCCTTGAGTCCACCCAGCTTTGGTGGGTAGCTAACTCATGTTAGGAAAAACAAAGGCGGCTGGGCAAAGTGCTGACCACACCTTCCCTTGATATGCCGAGGTCATGAAACATATGCCCTCGTCTTCATTGCTAGGTCTAAAGAGGATTCTTTACATTATATGTCACACAATATTTGCATGATTTCCTTTTTACCAAAATCCACTCTGTAATTGGGTTTCTTTACCTTTAACGTTGTCATTATCTTCCAGAATAAAGTCGCATTACTGTAAGACTGTTTTTTTGAAATATAATATGTCCACATACATACATATCTTAGCTAGAATAAAAAAAAAAAAAAAAAAAAAAAAAATATATATATATATATATATCTATCTATATATATATATATATATATATATATATATATATATATATATATATATATATATATATATATATATATATATATATATATATATATATATATATATATATATATATATATATATATATATGTATATGTATATATGTATTGTTTGACCCAAGAGAGGGAGAAATGTATTTCGAGCGTCCAGAAAACATGAAATAAATCGATACCAGTTGTGTTGTTGGTGATGAGTCGCATTAGACGGATCAATAACCAAAATCTATCAATAAGGTTTAGTTGGGCGAGTCCCTTACATGATGAACAGTCGCACAATGGTGTTGATGGGAGGGGTGGGGTGGGGGGGGGGGCAATCAATGGGCAAAGTCTAGACATCGAATTTACGAGCGGTCAAGACACCCTAAGTGTTGAGGAATCATGTGACGAAACTTGACTTGGGATGAGTTGATTGGTTGGTGGATCAGGAGGAGATAATTGACAACTGAAAAGGGGGAGTTAATTTAGAAGCAGAGAGGGGAGGGGAGACCATTCATTTATAGAATGAGTAACAATCCACAGTTGGTAAGAGGTACAGTCAACATTGTGTATAAAGTGCAATCTAAATCTTAAAGAAAAACATCCGCACCCCATGTGCCCCCCCCCCCCCCCAAATGACTTGAAAAAACCTGTTATTATTGTGTAAGATAGAATTTTCTGCTATTCAGTATGTGAGCAGTATAATGGATCCTATGTCACACTAGTGCCTGGCTTTGTTGGCCTATAATGGACCCTATGTCACGTTTGTTGGCCTATAATGGATCCTATGTCACGCTGTTGACCTATAATGGACCCTATGTCACGTTTGCTGGCCTATAATGGGCCCTATGTCACGTTTGCTGACCTATAATGGATCCTATGTCACACTTGTTGGCCTATAATGGACCCTATGTATCGTTTGCTGACCTATAATGGACCCTATGTCACGTTTGCTGGCCTATAATGGACCCTATGTCACGTTTGCTGACCTATAATGGACCCTATGTCACGTTTGCTGGCCTATAATGGACCCTATGTCACGTTTGCTGACCTATAATGGACCCTATGTCACGTTTGCTGGCCTATAATGGACCCTATGTCACGTTTGCTGGCCTATAATGGACCCTATGTCACGCTTTGTTGGCCTATAATGGACCCTATGTCACGTTTGCTGGCCTATACTAAATGTGGAACATGCTCACGGGTGATCGGGAGTTAAATAACCAAAATATACTCGCGATTGCTTGAGTTAGAAAAGTATAGAGAAGACGTGAGATGGGTGTGAAGAAACCGGAGGAGTTCCAGAGACTGATTCCAGAGATTGATTGACGGAATGCCACTTAACATGAATCCTGGGTGTTAGTTAGTTCACGGGTGGTAAAATGTAATAGGCATTACGAGTTACGTAATATGTAACAGACTTTAAGATCCTTACAAAATGACGCTGATCATGACGTAACAAATGCCATTTATACCTCCTAAACGGAACGAGTCTAATACAGTTTTTCCAGTCCCCCCCCCCCACTCCGGAGAAAAAAGTCTGGAAGAAACATTGGACTAATACATCTTAATACTCAACATCAAAATAGACCAAAACTTGAATTATAAGTATGAAATGGAGTTTGACAATAAGCAATCTCATTAAACCTAGCAACTCATTTTGTGACGATTTAGTATAGCAATAGTACATGACACAAACTAACATCACAACTCCTATCTGAATATCATTTTTAAATTTCTCAAACAAATTTATGCAGAAGTGCTATTCAAAATAAAATATATCAAATAAGATAAAGTTATTAGTATGGCAAATGTAAGCACATTTAGAAAATAAATTATTAACTAAATTGATTTTTACACAAATATAAAAAAAGAAAAATATCTTTCAATAAACGAATGACGTAAAAATATCTGCACCAAACACAAAATAACAAACATAAAAGAAAACGGTGGCTAGGGGAATGTATCTGAAATCATGATTGAAAATATTTGATTGATTGATTCAATACACGAAGCGAGAGCCTGGGGGTGGGGTGGGGGTGGGGGTAGCAGCGGTGACGTCGCCAGCAATAAAGATAATTGGAGCGGTATGGGTAGCAGATCCCACGCGAGATGTACGCTCCCGTGGATTGGGGCAGGCAAGATGGGGGGCCAGATTACACCCAGGCCCCACTTCAAAGTGGGACCCGCTGGTTCCGGGGACCCATAAACATCAAACCAATTCAGACCCGGGGTTGTTTTCTGATGATGAGACACATCATACACACCACTCATAGTTCTATTTTCTCTACATCAATCACACTATTCATGTTACATCATTGACTTGATATTGTCTTTTGATCTAATCAAAGAAAATGAATGACAAGGAATTGTGATCAAACATACTCTAGAACTTACGTTTTTTTTATATTTCCCAATACATATTACTCAATGGTTCTTTAATAATTTTACAAGATACGTTTTTTTATATCGAAGGCAAAGCCCAAATCAATCAAACTTAACGGTTTTTGTTGATATCTTGTACTTTACCTAAATCGTGTTAGGTTCTTTTAAGAATCGAATGCACTATAACCATCTTTCAAACGTCATTCTATTCCATCCTGATCGAATACACCGTATAAATCACTCAGCATACATTGTTGCTTTCTAGATTAGATACAAATCACAGACCCAAATACACTATTTAACTAGCTCAAGAGATAACATGTTGTATTCTAGAACTCAAATTAACATCTAAATCATTCAACATATATCATGTTTTTCTCCTTGAAAACTACAAAATCAAAGTACTCTACTACTGTAGCCTATATATATATATATATATATATATATATATATATATATATATATATATATATATATATATATATATATATATATATATATATACATATATATATAAAGAGAGAGAGAGAGAGAGCGACAGACGGACAAGGAGAGAGAAACTGAATAATAGAGAGAGAGAGACAGACAGACAGAGAGATATGGCTGATGTGTGAATGAAGGCTAGTTGATTTGTTCGTCAGTAATATGTTCTAAGAAATCCAGAACAGCGTTATGATAGAAAATGAAATGTCCCCCATATAGGCTACAGAAAACCAATATCCCTCAGCCCCATAAATCCCGGGGTCACTTACCCTCAACGACCAGGCCGTCGTGCCTCTCGCAGTGAACCTTCCGCCACTTGGTGTCACCCCCGGGCATCCAGGGCTCCGTGGCCCAGCGGAACGAGGTGCAGGCCTCGGCCACGCAGTCCTGCTCCACCCACAGCGTCTCGTTGCAGGGCTTGTTGCCCGGGGATGGATAGGCTAAGACTGCCCTTGACCTAGCCTGGACGCCCAAGGTCACATCTAAATTCCAAGGACACAAAAGATATATGGGGCATTAAAAACAATTCCCCCACAGGTAAATAACCCCTCACCGTCAAATATATAGGTGTAAATATAATATATATATATATATATATATATATATATATATATATATATATATATATATATATATATATATATATATATATCGTTATTTCCATAACAATAACATAACATGACACGTTACACAGGCCCACGGGCATACCTTGTTTAAAATCCTCACAGCTGACGTAACAGTTTGACCACTCTGTCCACTCGGACAGTGCGCACTCACCAGGGCAAGGGATGTGGCAGGGGCGGGTTGTCTTTAGGTGGCCAGATAAAAATAAATCGAAGAAAACCATGTTCAGGTATGTCAAAAAAGCAAATGTACAGAATAAATTAATTGTTTTATCCAAAAATCAGAATCAGTATTTTTTATTTATATATTTTTTATTTATATATAGGCCTATACGTATATCATTTTTTACAAGCACATTTAATTAAGCATATTTATAAAATAATCCATTTATATATACACATTTTAATATATATATATATATATATATATATATATATATATATATATATATATGTATATATATATATGAACTTGAAGCTGGACCGGAAGTGACCAACGTGACAAAACAAATCATACTCTTGTCACGTCACCCGGTCACATGACCGTATTTCAATGTGTGAACTTGTCAGCCCACGTGATCCCACAGCGGCGCGTGCTAAAGTGGGGAGAGATAATCTCTAAGCCCATGTGTACCCTCAGACCAACGAGAGCAGGGGTCTCCTGGGGGTCTGGCACTGCGGTGCTGACCACCGGCACTCAACTCGCCAGGAACCCGCGGGAGGTCTCGGATTTCCAGAACTATTTTTTTTGCCCTAGCGGATTAATCTTGATATCCGTTGAAGAAAAAAAACTTTTTTTTTTCAATATGTTACCACATTTCCTTAATAAAACAAACACAAATATAACCAGGAAATTCTCCATAATTTTTAAACAAACTATATCCAACAAAAAGTTCTTGTTTTTAACAATTTTACTTATTTAAAAACCAAATTAAAAAAAAAACAACTTCCACCTTAATCCAAACATTAATTTAAAAGAATTTTTAATCTTTATCCCATAACTTAATTTATAAATTACATATTTTTAAAAATATTTGTTTCACTCTAATGCTAAATCTAAATCTTTGCTCTACAGTAAACCTGTATCGAAGCCTTAATCCAAATAATACCCTAAAATCAAGTTTTATCCAAGCTTAATCGGGATTTTAAAAAAAATCTACAACACTAATTCTAATTCTAAATATAACGTTTGCCCTAAATTAAATTTGAACTCCCAGCTTAATCTAAATAATATGCTAAATTAAAGCTATGTCATCAGGTCAAAAGATTTAGGTCTTGACCAGTATAAGAATGTATTGCTTATCACTACCTCGTTATTAATGTCTTTATCGCACAATCATACCAGACTTAAGTCGCAGACTAACTGCACTACTAGATACAGCAACAATAATAAGACAGCAAACACCGACTTTTTTATGCTTAGACCTAGTTGCACCAACCGCTTCATGCTTAGATATACTTGCATAACATTGAAGTTGAGTCCTACTTGTACCAAACTGTTTCATACTGAGATCTACTTGCACCAAATAGTTTCATGCTTAGGTCTACTTGCATGACACGCACGTTACAATGTCCCACACAAACGTTTTCATGCTTAAATCTACTTAAATCTACTTGCGCCATACTGTTTCATACTTAGACCTGCTTGGACCACACTAACTTTTTCATGCTTAGACCTACTTGCACTAATCTGTTTCATGCTTAGACCTACTTGCACTAATCTGTTTCATGCTTAGACCTACTTGCACTAATCTGTTTCATGCTTAGACCTACTTGCACTAATCTGTTTCATGCTTAGACCTACTTTCCCTAAACTGTTTCATGCTTAGACCTACTTGCACCAAACTTTTTCATGCTTAGACCTACTTGCACCAAACTTTTTCATGCTTATATCTACTTGCACCAAACTGTTTCATGCTTAGACCTACTTGCATGATGGCTTTCTCCAAGTCCACTGGACACTTTGACGTGTCGACAGGTTTGTCATCGTCCCCCACACAAGAGACATTTCTCACCTGGATCCCGCCACCACACACTCCAGGCTGAAAGGAATAGGTTCAAATCCATCAGAGTTACAGGCATTTTACAGGACACATCTATTAGGGCTGGTTTTATTCAATGCAGAAAACGATCCAAGAAAATGTTCAATACTTTATTTGTTCTCATCTTTACACATCACACAGCAGCTCCCGTCCCTAGCTGCTACAAACTAAAATCGCCCTACAATCGTTCACTCCTGCTTTTATACCCGCACTAGACCTTAGGACAACAATACCTAAACACACCGAGGATTAACTCGACTCACACACACCTATTCCATACGTTCTAGACTATTCTAGCCTATTCTAATCTAACCTACAACTGATCCGTAACAACATATACAACATGAACAACATGTGACGGATCAGAAAACAATAGACGATAGTCAAGAACATAAAAACAGGCAGATGGGGATGGATCGGCCACGCCCTGTGAAATGTAGCGAGGCAAGCAATACCAGGTGAAGAGAAAAGTGGGCCGCCCGAAGAAATCACGGAGAGGGACTGTGGAAGGGGAAGCAAGAACCGCCAGGCTTACATGGACTGAGCTAAAGAGAGTATCCTAAAACAGTGTACGAATGGAGAGGTCTCGATACAGCCATTGTTGTCCGTGAGAGGTCTAGCTGCAGCTATTTGTTGTCTATGAGAGTTCTAGCTGCAGCCATTTGTTGTCCATGAGAGGTCTAGCTGCAGCCATATGTTGTCCGTGACAGGTCTAGCTGGAGCCATGTGTTGTCCACGAGAGGTCTAGCTGCAGCCATTTTTTGTCCGTGAGACGTCTAGCTGCAGCCATTTGTTGTCCATGAGAGGTCTAGCTGCAGCCATTTGTTGTCCATGAGAGGTATAGCTGCAGCCCTTAGCTGCTCGGGATTCACTAACCGGAGACAGACACAAGTGAAAAGAGCTTTCTGTGTCTGCCCAATGTGTAATGAGCACCCAAAAAGAAACGGCGATACACTATTAAACACATAACCGGAGGTTGGAAAGGAAACTATTTTTTACATTGAGATTAGAGAACTTCCTGTCAGAACATTCCATTCGCATCACCCCCCACGTCATTAGCATCAACCCCTACCAGCCCCCACGCCACTGGCATCAACCCGCCCCCCCCACCCTTACGCCACTGGCATCAACCCGCCACCCTCCCCCACACACATGACTTACATCAACCCCCCCTACCACCCCCACCGTCACCTCCACCCAAACATTGAACCCCCCCCCCCCCCCCAAAGACTCACTGGTAAAATGCAATGGCTCCAGTCAGTCACCGACCACCTGTAGCATGGCCGGTGTATGCAGGGCATGGACTGGTCAAGCTTGTCTGGACACTTCCGGCCGTTACCGTGCCAGCCTTGCAGGATGTTTCTTCGTCTTTGTTTCACACCTGTAAACAATGGGGGGTCACATTCAAGTATGACGTCACGCTATCTTAGCCGATGTCTACCCCCTCCCAAAATATACATTCTTTGTCACGTCTACGATCTCACATTCCACCCCCCCACGTCTTATTTCTGACTTAACAAAATTACAAGCAACTATTATGATATACAAACTATCTAACCTAATTGGCTAAATTTGTGGTTCATTATTGAAAACAATGCCGCGCATTAAAACAACTTATTAGTCTCTCCATCTAATAACATTTTCCCTTTCTCTCTGCCTCCATCTCATTCTATCTCTTCCATATATCTCTCCCTCAATCTCTCTCCCGCACTCTCTCAATCTTTCACTCTCTTTTATTCTCTCTCTCTCTCTCTCTCTCTCTCTCTCTCTCTCTCTCTCTCTCTCTCTCTAAATCTTTCTCATCCACAATAACTCTCTATCTTAAATGGACATAACCATAGCTTGCAGTCTAGTTTAAATACGAAGTCAAGTTTTTAACCAATACCAATTCCAATGAAGCTAACACATGCACTAAAGCACGGGTTCCCAACCTGGGGTTCGCGACCCCCCTGGGGGTCGCAAAGGTCTTTCTGGGGGGTCGACAACTGGTATACTAAACCTTAGTAATTTGAAACAAAACATAAATATTTAGAAGAATTTTTGAAATTCGGCTTCATTAACATCACTGGAAATGTAATAGAGAAGAAACAAAGCGCACTGTACAAAGTTGTTCTCAGTCACGAATCTATGAAATCTTCAAAACTAAAACGTCATTTAAGACGAGTCATTCGGAACACACCAAAAAATACATGGAGTTCTTTCGTCGATAAGAAGCTAGTTGCAAACGCCAGAGACTTGATCGAACAGGAAGTTTTCACCAGCATTAGTGCAAGCATCAAATGAATTCGCGATAGAAAATGCCAAGCAAAAAAAAAAAAAATAGGAGAAAATCTCATCAAACGTTGCATGTACGTAAATGTTAAATAACACATTTTTATTGACATTAAGCTTTCACCATTGTTTGCTTTTCAAGATGATAAATCAACAGACGTGAGTTCGTGTTCGCAGTTGCTGGTCTGTGTCTATATTTATGCAGATGATAGCAAAGATAAAAGAGTTGCTCTTTTGTGAAGATAGCATGGAGAAAATAAATATCTTTTTTGAAACTGGATGATTAAATTGGGTTAGAACGGCTGTGGGGGTTTGTACGGATGGTGTGCCATCTATGTTTAGCTCAAAATCGGGCTTTCAGAAAACAGAAAAGATTTAGCTCCCTAACCACTGCCCTAACCAATCGACATCAAGAGTCCATTGCTAGTATAAGTCGTAAATTATATAAAATCTGGAGCCTTCAAAGAACTGAGCAAAAACATTAATATAGATCACGAGGTTCTGCTCTTCTACACTACAGTACGCTGGCTGTCAAACGAAATGTTGTAAATTGTGTTTTTGAATTGAAATCTGAAATCAAATTGTTCTTGGGAGTGCAAAGGAAACAAGACTTTTTGGTATACTTAAAACGACATAGAGTGGTTGGAGAGAGTATCATACCTAGCAGATATGTTCGAACATCAAGATAAGCTTAACCTGAAGCTTCAAGGAAAATGAACGAATATTATAACTTTCCATGATAATCTCGGGGCATTTTTATCAAAGCTGCAAAATCGGTAAAGAAAACAAATCTTGGAAATATTGTAAATTTGAGAAACTCTGCTGTGTGGTAGATGAATCTGATTGGGAGATAATTAAAATTTTGAAAGAAGCGATTTCTGGGCATCTTGAATCTCTTGAAAACGAACTGCATCGCTATTTCTCTGAGCTGAAAAAAAGAAGAATCTGCATTTACGCATTACCCATTCTCTTCTTCCCTTGATGTTGCCGGCATTCCCGATGAATTACAAGATGAATTTTTTGATTTGCAGAATGATTCCGTGTAAGATGAAAAACTGCAGACACAATTTTGGTGTAGTATTCACCATTCATACCCAAACGTAAAATTGATTGACTTTTCGAGAATATATTTTCAACACTATTCTTCGATTAAAAACAAAATTAAGATAATTATATTGACATAGGTTGGCGTTAACAATTTTTTTTTTAAATTAAAAACTTAACCACGAAGGTTTAGTGAATAGTATGCAATTTTACTCAAGTTATCAAGAGTGGTTCATATTGAAAGTCTACTAGAAAATCTTATTTTAGTGCTTATTAATTTCCATACTAATTTCGGCTTTTTAATTCTATGGGGGTCGCGGGTCACTTAATTTTTATAAAAGGGGGTCGCCACTCGAAAAAAGGTTGGGAACCAAAAGAATCCCATCAGTTAAACAATTTATATAAACATATTTTCTCATATTGACAATCACATGACAAATTTCAACCAACCAAGGCCGCAGGAGCTACTGCACGTGGTCCAAGACGTCCAATCAGATAAGAGACAATCGTTGTCGCAGGGCGCTTCACACGACACGACCAGCGGCTCGGTGATTGGTCCGTAGAGCTGAAACAAAGAGAGCTTGTCACGTGATGTAACAAATACAGGTTGTCACGACATGTAACAAAGAGAGGTTATCATGTTATGTAACAAAGCTATGTTGTCATGTAACAATGATATCTTGTCACGATATGTAACAAAGAGAGGGTGTCACGCTATGTAACAAAGAAACGTTTTCATGTAACAAAGAGAGGGTGTCACGCTATGTAACAAAGACACGTTTTCATGTAACAAAGAGAGGGTGTCACGCTATGTAACAAAACCATATCAAACTATGTATAATAAAGAAATATTAACAGTTGACAAAGCTAAAGTCTAGAGAACAAAGAGAAACGTTTTAATAAGAGATGAACAAAGAGGGTAGTTCTCCCATAATCAGATAATCAGACAACAGGAAGACGTTTCTCATTGAACAACAAAGAGCTGACAGAAACAATGAACACATTTCCAACCACGATTCACAATTAGCATTCGAAATATACCATACAAATACATGCATTTTAAAGGTTTGCATTAGCAGCTTGAAGAAATGATAAACACATTTCCAATCACAATTTACAATTCGCATTTGAAATAACTCCTAAAAATAGATGCAATTTAAAGGTTTGCAAGCGATGGGACATCCCGTAATTTGATGACTGGTGTGTTTTCTGAGGGACTATACTATGTCAATTACATTGTTATTTTTTAATTCCGAGGTCAACTCCATTGCCAGTTTGTCTTACTTATGCGAATATATATATATTATTTTTGTCTAATTATACAAATAGTTTTGCCATTAAAACAGTCGTAGATGGAACTGGTCACAGAAGAATCCTAAATAATCTTTTAATTATTTATAATTATAGACATTAGTATAGTCAGTTTATAGTAACAAAACGTAAAATGTATACATAAACTAGTTGAACATCTAAAGTACTACTAAACTTAAAATTAGTATAGTCGGTTTATAGTAAGAAATAAACCGGGAGTGATCTCCCCTAAACTTTCTCGAATATTCTTAAATAAAACAACAGGGGATGGGAACTCGGGATATAGTTATGATTTTTAATCCATTTTAAATACATAAACTTTTTAAAATAAAATAGAATCTCATAGAAAAAAGAATTGCGCACCTAGCGAACGCCAAATAAAGATGTTCATAATAGTGCGCAATATTATTAGTACTTTATAAATTTACATGCGTTTTTTGAGAAATCGGAAATAGCGTAAATTAGTACTTTCGGTCAACGGAAATTACTCAAAATTTGACAGAAGTTAGAGAATTAGATCTTTTACTTACATGTGAAATTTCTTTTATCTATCTGAAACAGTACTCAAGTTATAAGCTTTTAAAAAATTTAAAGTTGAAAAAGTAACACTTCCGATTATTGGAAATCGCTCAAAAGTTGCAAGGGATCTACGATTTTGATAAAATACTTATATATGAAATTTCATCAACCTAGCTGTAACGGTACTCAAGTTATCGTGTTTACACACAGCCACACAGACACACAGACACACACACAGACATACGGACAAGATTGCAAAATAATGTTTTTCCGTATCCGTGAGGTGTAAAACGTCGAGATTTGTAAAAATCTTGATTTTTTTTTGCACGATTACAAGACTTTCTCTATACTTCGTATATACGAGAGAGTAAAAAGTAAAATGTATACATAACTAGTTGAACATCTACAGTACTACTAACCTTAAACTAATAATATGATGAAATAATTGTAACCAGATCTAATATGTTGTGTTCTAGTGAGAATAGTGTATCCAATTAAAGGTTCCATATACGTTAAGCCAAAAAGTTTAGTCAAAGCCAGGGGTAGGAATTAAGGAGGGGGGGGGGGAGTGTCTACGGAAGTTCTGAGGAGGAGGATTTAAGCAAGGGTATTACGTGGGATGGTTTAAGTTGTGAGCTTGATTAGGAGGGTTTAGGAGGAGGGTTTAGGAGCAGGGTTTAAGTCGTGGGTTTAATGAGGAGGGTTTAAGTCGTGGGTTTAATGAGGAGGGTTTAAGTTGTGAGTTTAATGAGGAAGGTTAACGCCGGAGGGTTTGAATAGGAGGGTTTAAGGGGGAGGGTTAAATGGGAATGTTTGTAGGAGAAAGGTTTAACTAAAACCATCGGCCCTTAAGTGATAGCTAATCCAAGATGCTTAGTCAGCAGAGCTTTAAAAAAAAACAAGACTATATTACACGTTAGTAAGCTCTGAATCTAGAGAATGGTTGGGAGGGTTTCAGAAGGAGGGTTGGAGGAGGAAGGTTTAACTGTAGCTGACACAGGTTGTTGAAACTAGTGTATCTGGGCACTGTGCTGGCCACACTATCCTCTTGTATGCCGAGGTTATTGAAACAGACGAACTCTACTTCATCTGCCCACTATGTCTTGGGCAAGAACGGAAAAAAAATGATGAATTGATGTGATAATTGTACACATGTTTCTTATTACGACTGAATAAAACTGAGTTTGTTTGATATAAAATATAGATATTGAGAATTCCAGTTACTTTTTTTTAAAAATCATAAATGTCTTCTCATGCAACCGGATGCAATTCACACGTTTTAAGGATTTGCGAACTACCGTTCATCTTATTCTCAGAAAATATTTTTAAAACATTAAAATGTGATTCAAACTTGATAATAAATGTAAGAAATAAAAAAAAAAGAAATATTGTACTTATGTTAGCTTATAGATGCACCAAGAAAATGTGTTTCTCGATTCTGTTATTCTGGACCCTAACTCTAGCGGGCATAGCTATACGGTTACTCTCTAGGCAAAAACATCCTGTCTTTTTGTCTATTCAAAAACCACCCGCACACCCATTATACAACGTACGGTATTTTAACGACCCAATTTGTTTCCTGAGAAAAGAAAATCTCTTCTTCAAATTTGGGTTCACCAGGGGAGGTAATGGCCCCAATGGTCGGGGAATTTAGAGATTGATTAAAACACACAGGAGGAGTAACTTTTGATAGAATTTAAATACGGAGTTAATGATTGTCTTGTTACATAATTTATGCATGGCTAATAAACTGGATTTTTATTAGAAGAATGGTGTTGTTTGATGTATTTTCTATGCCTGCAGTGCAATTAACTGTTTACAGTAATTTTGTAATCATTATTGGTATTTAATTAATGGACCATTGTACCAGCTATACTATGTCTTTGGTATTGATGCTATATTATCGTGCATTTAGGCTAAAATAACTCACACAGCTTCTCCGAAACTCATACATAGTACATAAACATACACAGCAAACAAACAACATAAATCACAAAATACGTAACTTAAAAAACTGCATAATACACACCCGATCAAGTAAAGCACACATACATGCTTAGGAAACAATAAACCATATAACATAATCATACAAAGAAAGACATAAACCATATTAAGCAATCATACTTAGAACATAACTATACAAAGTGTATAATAAATTACACATAATCATACAGAGCACATAATATTCATATGACTCATTCAGACAAAACATTTCATACATAACATCCAGTCATACACAGAAAACAACCTTACACAGCACACAATCATACACAGCAACCAACCTGACATAACACAATCATACACAACTAATCTTACATAACACAATCATACACAGCAACCAATCTTACATTACACACACGCATAGATCTTAAACTTATACTAGAATAACGACAACGTCCAAGAGAAAGAAAAATGTTCCATTTCCAGTGTGTTTTTGTGATCGTAACAAAATGACAAAAACGCGAACCGCGAAGAGTAAACAATAACACACCGTAAATATCAAGCGTACACACAGAATACACATTCTATTGACACTCTCTATAAGCTGTTTAAACTATTTTATTTTAAATTTCAATTCATTAAAGTTCTTCATTAAATCTTTTAATTTTTTTTTCTAAATTTAATAAGGGAAGAAAAAAAAATAAATTTCAAGGCCCTGCATCTCGTATGATAATCTCTCTTTTATTAATTTTTTTTCAAGTAGAAAATTAGCATTTAATTAGGTAATTTGCGAATTAAATTAAAAACCGACCACCGAAATTTGGGAATGGTTAAAAATAAAATGCGTTATATAGTGTGAGTACTGTTAAAGAATAAGAGAGAGAAAACGGTAAATTTCTATTGCAGAACGACAGGTTTTTTAAAACAATTGCATTGGATATTTTTCTCAAGGCTAACCCTATGCATTACGTAGATAGTAAAATATAGTAGGCCTACATTACACCCTAAAAACTACGGAGATCTAACCCAGAATCGTAATATTACACACACTCATGGAATACAAGACACATAAACTCAATGGAGTAGTTAGCGCTTGATTAGGACATTTAGAAATAGACAAACTCCTACCAAACAACTAATTATTCCTTAGAAAAATTAAAATTAAAATAATGGTTCATTTGTTTTAGCTGTACCCTAACATTGAACTACTAGTGACGCCTTGCTTGTGGTTAAGACACGAGATATATTTAGGTTTAAAGATAATTAAAATATAATAATATCTTATGTCAATTCAGTTATGTTAGGGCTGAGGGTACGGCTAACCAAAGAGTGACTCAACTTACAATCTCACACTTGTGGTCCTCCACCCTCTCCCCCACGCCGTTCCTGCAACTGGCGAACCTCTCCTTGTGCCCCACCCCACACTCCCGGCTCCCCCCGTTGACCAGACAGCTCGTCCACTCCGACACCTCCCAGGAGAGCTCCACGCACGTCTTCTGTCTCAGGCAGGGGCGTTCCTCCAGGAGATCGGAGCAGGGTTCGGCCATGGCGTACTGCCCGGGCTGGCGGAGAATGTGGCGGATACGCCTCTGGTTCTGGTGCCCGTTACACGGCTAAAAGAAAAAACATACAATAATAACAGCACAGCATGAAAAAATAACCACACAACATACAATAATAGCAGCACAGCATAAAACAACTTTCAATGTTTAAAACAGGCTTTTCTCTATGTGCGCATACAGGACATACAACAAACGATACGCCGTCACGTACTTAGAAAAAAAATAAACCGGGAGTGATCTCCCCTAAACTTTCTCGAATATTCTTATATAACTTGAAATATAGACATGATTTTTAATTACTTAAACTTTTAAAAATAGAATAGAATCTCATAGAAAAAAGAATTGCGCACCAAGCGAACGCCAAAACAAAATGTGCATAATAGTGCGCAATGTTATTAGTACTTTATAAATTTACATTCGTTATTTGACAAATCGAAAATAGCGTAAATTAGTACTTCCGGTCAACGGAAATTACTAAAAATTTGACAGAAGGTAGAGAATTAAATCGTTTACTTACATGTGAAATTTCATTTATCTATCTGAAATAGTACTCAAGTAATAGGCTTTTGAAAAATTCAAAGTAGAAAAAGTACCACTTCCGGTTATCGGAAATTGCTCAAAAGTTGATCAGGATCTACGATTTTGATAAAATACTTATATATGAAATTTCATCAACCTAGCTGTAACGGTACTCAAGTTATCGTGTTTACACACAGACAGACAGACACACAGACACACAGACATACGGACAAGATTGCAAAATTATGTTTTTCCGTATAAGTGAGGTGTAAAACGTCGAGATTTGTTAAAATCTCGATTTTATTTTGCACGATTACAAGACTTTCTCTATACGAGAAAGTAATAATATCATAATTCGAGGGTACAGAGGACAAATGCAGTATGTCCACTAAATATGTCAAATCGATGTACATTTATACTGATACTGATACTGTAAATAGTACAAGTTACAAGAACACTTATGTACAATGTCAGAAAAGTAGAATGCACATATTTTATGAAAGTTTAAACATAATATTTTGCACTATTTTAATATTGGAATGAGATTTATAAACTCATTTTTCCCGAGATAATTTTTTTGGACATACTGCGTTTGTCTTCTATCCCCTAGATATATTGCCTGCCGAATGTTTCTTCCACGTGTAAGTATGGCGGGGTAGGGTGGGTTAAAATGAGGGTACTTACATTTCTTAGCGAAAACGATCTAATTATATATATATAATTTTATATATTTTATATTCTTTTGTATATATATATATATATATATATATATATATATATATATATAATATAAGCGGACTGGTAGTGTGTCCTCGTGGCATCGTTATAGATTTTGGAACCATAAAATTAAACAACGTACCATGCAGTGCCTTTACATTGCTTCGCATTGTCTTATTATAAGACATAGAGTAGGGTTTGTTTATATAAAGACTTAAATTTATTTTATAGTTGCCACGGTTTATTCACTTTGAAGAAAATATTAAATACACGCACATTGTTAAAACTTATCAAATGGATCAATGTAAAATATTATTTTCGTTTAGATTTATAGAAAAGTGGATACATTTTTTAAAAATTAGGGTCAAAAAACTAATTAACTATACTGTTTTGTAATTTTGCCAAGGGAGGTAATTTAAAAATAAATTCAACTCACACGAAGAAAAATGTAAATGCAAAATCTCCAAGAGGGAATTATTGTTGGAATAATATAATTAGCAAAATTTGAATGCAAATTCTGTAGAAGTGTAAGCGGACATTATTGTTGGAATATTATAATTAGCATGGATTGATAAAAGGCTTTCTTTTATTTATTTTATTCACCGAACGTACTGTTTACTAATTATCATTTTTAATCAACTATTCCGCAATATTATACACGCGTTATCACGTTTAGTTGGTGCGCTATGGTTTTAGTCATGAAACTCTATTGTAAACTTTTAAAATTTAAAGTAGGCTACTTAAAAAAAAATTCATGAATTAGTAAAGTGCAATATGGTAGGTAAAACACGGATATTTTACATCCCGTTTTTTTTGTATACACTGAGCGTACTGTTAACTAATTATTATTCTATCTTTCGGTTTGCGGACAAGCTGGGGGTTTTATAGTCATTCACTGAATCAGGCGCGTCCCCCGCGATCAAACCAGGTGCGATTTGGCGCCACGGGCTAGACTGTGAGTACTATGCGTTTATGTTTGCATTTTAGTTGTGTTTATGTTTTTCTTTGTGTTGTATTTGTGTTTTCTGTTGTGTTTGTGTAGCGTTTGTGTTTTCGTTTGTCTTTGCATTGTGTTTGTTTGCCTTGTATTTGTGTTTTCTTTTGTGTTTGTGTTGTGATTATATTTTCTTTTGTGTTTGTGTTTTCTTTTGTGTTTGTGTAGTGTTTATATTTTCTTTTGTGTTCGTGATATCTTTTGTGTTTGTGTTGTGCTTGAGTTTTCTTTGTGTTTGTGTTTTCTTTTGTGTTTGTGTGTTTCTTGTGTGTTTGTGTTCTGTTTATGTTTTCATTGTTTTTGTGGTTTTTTTTGCGTTTGTGTTTTCTTTTGTGTTTGTGTTTTCTTTTGTGTTTGTGTTGTGTTTGTGTTGTATTTGTGTTGTATTTGTGTATTTGTTCTGTTCCCAAATTGGTACAATTAAAAAAGATTTACGGAGCACGGGTTGGCAGCTAGTATATATATATATCCTATATTTAAGTAGAAAAAATCCTGGGCATTTTTCAGGTTGTAAACACTAAATTGTCCAACACACTAACACGATTTAATATTGTCAATACATTAATATGATTGCTAACCCCCAGCTTAACAAACAGGCTCATTTGATTGAAGATTGTCAACACTAAGTTGACCAATACACAAACATTTTTCTATTAAGAGTAGTTTCGTGATTAAAACGAGCCTCCAACACATGACAGCCAGGGATGGGGCATGGTATTTAAACACAACAAACAATACACCATACAACCATGAAACACCCTCTGGCAGATTGTGAATGGTGTCATGACAATACAATCACCACGCGAACACTGTCACACCCTATGAGCAGTGATCACAATTATTATCATCAGAGGCGTAGCGAACCTTCCCGGCGCCCGGGAACAAAATTGCAATTTGGTACCCCCCCCCCCCGGACAAACTTTCAATTAGGCACCCCCCCCCATATATTTTTTATATTTATAATGCAAAACTGCAGCTAAAATGAGCTTTTAATTTTTTTCAAACCCATTTTAGCGCCCCTAGTGTCGGCGCCCGTGGCCATATGTACCTCCCCCTCGCCCCCCTTCTCTACGCCTCTGACTATCATATAAAAAACGGTAGTTTACTAGTAAAAATACAACCAGCTCAAAACCGTGATTAACTCCCCTTGTATGAGCCTATTTCAGCTACGCAAGTGATTAAAACAGGGGAGGGAACTCTAGCTTGAGATAGTATCATCTCCCCGCTTGAACCTAACCCGGTTTATACCAGTGATTCGCTTGTCTCCCCTAACACGATTTCACCATTCATCAGAACAAGCTCCAATAATAGGATCACGGCAGACCCTACTTTATAGATGTGTACCTAACACCAATGAGAAAGGGGGAAAAGGGGAGGCGATTGCAAGGGAACTAATCCACAAAACCAAACAGAACAAAATCGATTGAGCCGACTGCCCGGAAAATTGCTTGAAAGGGTTTTACTATGGTTTTAGAAATTAAAATCAACCCATTAAAAAAAAACAAAGAAGCTCTTTATTATTTAAAAGGATGGTTTGGATATAAAAATATAATTATAATACACGTATTTTTTAAAGCAGAAGTACTATGGTACCAGAACGGAAATAGATAATGGAGTTGGAGATTTGTGTAAAAACTAATGGTTTGGAAAGAGGTGCAGAGGCGTAGCGTGTGGGGGGGGGGGACATATGTCCCCGGGCGCCTACCTTAGGGGGGGGGGCGCCAAAATGGGTTAGAAAAACAAATTGAAAGTTTGAGGGGGGTGCAAATGAAAAGTTCGAGGAGGGGTGCAAATCGAAAGTTCTAGGGGGTGGGGTGCAAATCGAAAGTTTGTCCCCGGGCGCCGGGAAGGGTCGCTACGCCTCTGCAAAGGTGGATCGGGCTCTACAACATAGAACAATATTTTTTTTCAGTGCAGACTAGTGAAATTAGAGGCGCTGCAGATACTCCAAAGTGGAATGGGAGTTGCGGCTTATCTCTTTTTCTGGTTCAATCGAACAGGCATATATATATATATATATATATATATATATATATATATATATATATATATATATATATATATATATATATATATATATATATATATATATATATATATATATATATATATATATATATATATATATATATATATATATATATATATATATATATATATGGTGATTGCTTTTACATATTTTCCAAGACGGTTTTTTGATCTCTTATTCACCCCCACCCCAACAAAACACACATTGAACGTGGGTTGTGTGTGTCGCGGGTTCGGATCAGAAGTCGTACACTCTGACGTGGGTCATAGGTAATATTGTGAGGTTGATACACAACCCACACACACTGACTAGATATAGTGAAGGCCTTTGTGTAGCACGACATGTCTGAAATGTTTTTGTAAAGTATTTCTAGGATCCGTACTAATGTAATAACATACCAGATGATACTAATCAGATACCGGATTATACTAATCCGGGTCTTTTTTCCCTGAGCATCATCCTTTAATTTAAAATGAATATAATGATTGGTGTTTTCGACCCCCTTTTGGTTTGATGGTATAAGGATAAAAAAAACAACTATAAAATATTTACCCTGTAAAGTAACCCACTTTAAGAGGCTAACCTTCGCTACAATAATATTAACCCGTGGATCGCTAATTATTGATACATCGCCATTGAAAAATGGGACTAATTATTAAAAAAAATATGGGGGGGGGGGGGGACTGACCTGGTGACACAAGGTCCACTCTGTCCACTCCGACATGACGCAGTCCCCGGGGCAGGGGAGGGTGCAGGGCTTGTACCCCTCCTGCCGGTCGTCTGGGTCGCACTCAGAGTTGTCCACGATCCTCTCGGAACCGTCTGGGCTGACGGAGACACACCTGGCAAGGTCATATCAAGGTCATGACAAGGTCACGGTAGTGTCATCACAAGTTCATTGTAAGGGTATAGCCAGACCATGGTAAGGTCATGGTAGTGTCACTATAAGGTCATTGTGAGGGCAGATCAAAGTCATGTAAAGGTCATGGTAGTGTCATCACAAGGTCATTGTAAGGGTATAGCAAGGCCATGGTATGGTCATGGTAGTGTCATTATAAGGTCATTGTGAGGGCATATCAAAGTCATGTAAAGGTCATGGTAGTATCATCACAAGGTCATTGTAAGGGTATAGCAAGACCATGGTAAGGTCATGGTAGTGTCATTATAAGGTCATTGTGAGGGCATATCAAGGTCATGTAAATGTCATAGCAGTGTCATCACAAGGTCACTGTAAGGTCATACAATGGTCATTGCTAGGTAATAAAATGATAATGGCAAAGTCATGATAAAGTCGTATCACGGTAACAACAATATTGTGCTCTTGTTATAGTAATGTCATAGCAAGGTCATTGTAAGGTTAAAGCAAGTTCGTAAAAATCTCATATCAAGGTCATGGTAAAGACATAAAAGGTTCACGACAATATTGTAAACTCATTTCAATGACGTGATAAAGTCATCGCAAGGATAGGGTAATTACTAAAAAAAAGATTTCCATATTATATTAAAGGACAAACGCTTTTCCAAACAATTTAACAAAAGGCACGATGTTTACAAAAAAATGATCCTTACTCTAACCCAGGGGTCTCCAAACTTTTCAGCCCGAGGGCCGCATTAACTATCAAATATTAGCTCGGGGGCCAAGGTTTCTTTAAGGCATCTCTTCAGGGTCGTTGTATCTAAAGGCCTTTAGGTGGGTGTATAGATCAGAAACTAGATTTCCCTCTCTTGCCGTTTTAGGTTCAGAAAAATTAAATGACTAGTTATGTCTGCAGCAGAGGCAAATTTCTATACCCAATCTTCATTAGACAATAATAGCTGTGACTTGCCTTTACTATCAGGAAGTCACCTATTTATTTTCATAGATACTCTGCTCAGAATTTTCTCGCAAAATTGGCAATCTTACTGATGTGAAATATGGTAAATCTTGTGATTTTGTTTTTGTCTCTGAACTATCTATGGTTAGATATACTCTTCGGTAACAGTGTCATACATTATAATGTAAGGAAGCCAGCTCTTGCGTTATGTTCTTGTCTTCATCAAAACCTCTAATGAACAAAAACAGTTGAGAAGTGGAACAGCTGTCCAGCGACTCATCCATTGCAATTGAAAAATGGCGAAATTTGCTTGAATTTTTTGCTATTTGAGTCGCAATGTTTTCACCAATGTCTGCAACACGGCGAGTAATTGTATTTGCACACAAAGCTACATTTCAAATAGTTTTGAATTTTCTGTCCAAAGCTACTCAGCCACCTCCAACAAACATTTATTCAGTGGACAAAAAGATCGTCGCGGGCCGGATAAAATGAACTGGCGGGCCGCATGCGGCCCGCGGGTCGTAGTTTGGGGACCCCTGCTCTAACCTAATCAACGTTAAATAATGTCAAAATGGTTGCTAGTGCAAATAAAGGTAAACAACTTTAGAAAAAAGCCCACGAAGAAATGATGCTCTAAGCTGTCTTTACCACCACAGAGCTAGGAGACAAAAAGACGACCTACGATCACATAGCCCAGCAAGTAATGCCAGACTAGAGGGGTAGTAGTCGTGACCCAATACCAAGGGACACACCAACCCACATAAACACTGTTACACATAGCTATACACAACCACTCTACACAGGGTACTCACTTGACACACATGATTCACTTCACAACACGTGAGTACCCAACCTGCACACACCGTCACAAATTGTACTCACGAGGTCTCAAAACACATGAGTACCCGACCCCCCCCCCCCACACACCATCACACACGCTACCCATGGTGCCCCACACCACGGAACCACACATCCCTCAAACAGTACTCGCGTGAGTACCCGACCCCTACACCCACCACTACAAACAATACGATGTCCCCTCCCCCTCTCCACCACTGTACTTCACAACCCATACACCGACCATAACAAACATTACTCACGATGCCCACCCCCCAGCATTACCTGACAAGTCTGCTGTGAGTACCATCCCCACAAGACTTGCTGCCGTTAGGAATACACATGCCCCAGTTCTCGTACCTCCAGACAAAGTAGCTGCACGTCTGTCTGCAGACTCGCGTCTGTATGTCCTGTAATAGACGACACATATAGAGAATGTCCTGTAATAGACGACACACATAGAGAATGTCCTGTAATAGACGACACACATAGAGAATGTACTGCAATAGACGACACACATAGAGAATGTCCTGTAATAGACGACACACATAGAGAATGTCCTGTAATAGACGACACACATAGAGAATGTCCTGCAATAGACGACTAACATAGAGAATGTACTGCAATAGACGACACACATAGAGAATGTCCTGTAATAGACGACACACATAGAGAATGTCCTGTAATAGACGACACACATAGAGAATGTCCTGCAATAGAGGACACACATAGAGAATGTCCTGCAATAGACGACACACATAGAGAACGTCCTGCAATAGACGACACACATAGAGAATGTCCTGCAATTGACGACACACATAGAGAATGTCCTGCAATACACGACACAGATAGAGAATGTCCTGTAATAGACGACACAAATAGAGATTGTCTTGCAATAGACTACACACATAGAGAATGTCCTGCAATAGACGACACACATAGAGAATGTCCTGTAATAGACGACACACATAGAGAATGTCCTGTAATAGACGACATACATAGAGAATGTCCTGCAATAGACGACTAACATAGAGAATGTCCTGCAATAGACGACACACATAATGTCCTGTAATAGACGACACACATAGAGAATGTGCTGCAATAGACGACACACATAGAGAATGTGCTGCAATAGACGACACACATAGAGAATGTCCTGCAATAGACGACACACATAGAGAATGTACTGTAATAGACGACACACATAGAGCATGTTCTGCAATAGACGACATACATAGAGAATGTCCTGCAATAGACGACTAACATAGAGAATGTCCTGCAATAGACGACACACATAATGTCCTGTAATAGACGACACACATAGAGAATGTGCTGCAATAGACGACACACATAGAGAATGTGCTGCAATAGACGACACACATAGAGAATGTCCTGCAATAGACGACACACATAGAGAATGTACTGTAATAGACGACACACATAGAGAATGTCCTGTAATAGACGACACACATAGAGAATGTCCTGTAATAGACGACATACATAGAGAATGTCCTGCAATAGACGACTAACATAGAGAATGTCCTGCAATAGACGACACACATAATGTCCTGTAATAGACGACACAATAGAGAATGTCCTGCAATATACGACACACATAGAGAATGTGCTGCAATAGACGACACACATAGAGAATGTCCTGCAATAGACGACACACATAGAGAATGTACTGTAATAGACGACACACATAGAGAATGTGCTGCAATAGACGACTAACATAGAGAATGCCCTGCAATAGACGACACACATAGAGAATGTCCTGCAATAGACGACACATATAGAGAATGTCCTGCAATAGACGACATACATAGAGAATGTCCTGCAATAGACGACACAATAGAGAATGTCCTGCAATAGACGACATACATAGAGAATGTCCTGCAATAGACGACACACATAGAGAATATCCTGCAATAGACGACACACATAGAGAATGTCCAGCAATAGACGACACACATAGAGAATGTCCTGCAATAGACGACACACATAGAGAATGTACTGCAATAGACGACACACATAGAGAATGTCCTGCAATAGACGACATACACAGAGAATGTCCTGTAATAGACGACACATATAGAGAATGTGCTGCAATAGACGACACATATAGAGAATGTGCTACAATAGACGACTAACATAGAGAATGTGCTACAATAGACGACTAACATAGAGAATGGCCTGCAATAGACGACACATATAGAGAATGTCCTGCAATAGACGACACATATAGAGAATGTCCTGCAATAGACGACACACATAGAGAATGTGCTACAATAGACGACACACATAGAGAATGTCCTGCAATAGACGACACACAGAGAATGTCCTGTAATAGACGACACATATAGAGAATGCCCTGCAATAGACGACACACATAGAGAATGTCCTGTAATAGACGACACATATAAAGAATGCCCTGCAATAGATTACACACATAGAGAATAACTGAATCACATTGGAACTATTAAACTATGTTTACTCTTTATTTTAGTAAGTCGAAAACGAAGTTATGTAGGCCTACATTTTATTCTGATATTGTAAGAATTATTATTTTTTTTTTAAATATAAGTATACCAGTTTAAAAAAAATCTTTTCAAGGGGTTAAAGTATAAAAAAAAAATTAGGTCTAGATGTAGTATTTTTGAGTGGGTTTTTAATTCCACAGTTGCAGCAGAGAATCCACCTTTTAAGCCCAAACGAGAAACAAGTGTGTAATCAATCAATACACAACCGCCTTTACTCTCCGTAAAGATCACCCAATGCCCTTCAATGCCTGGAACTGGTTTTAGGAGCTTTAACCATAGGTGTTTGGAGCTTAAATGGTTGGCCCGGAACGGGTCTTTAACAAGAGTTTCTTTCAGGCATCTCTTCGGGGCCCACCCCTCGGCCCGAACATTTCAAGTCCCCCCCCCCCCTCCTCCCGCGTAGAACAATGTCTGGAAGAAAGACTGGTCTTTAAACCTCAAACCACGTTGAACTATATCGTATGTTACCTTGTCATAGTTGTACATGGACGGGCAGTCCCGACCCCCGTTGGATGGCAGGGTCAGAATTCTCCGACCCCTCTGCTGGACCCCCGAGCCACACTTGACGCTACACGGGCTCCAGTTGCTCCACTCCGTCACCTTGCAGTCCTCTGGGCACGGGATGTTGCACACCTCACTCGGGTACCCTGTGGGCGGGGGGAGGGGGAGGGTTAAAATTTAAGTGCTGTTATTTTAACTACACTAACATCGCTGGTCACGATTCATCAGATTAAACAATGATAACAGATGTTGGACAGCGTAGTCGGTAGGTAGAGCATACGGTTAGCTAACCAGAAAGCTTCGAGGTCGAATCTCAGGACCATGCCAGTAGAACGTCCACCCAGCCCTGATGGCTATCTAATTCACGTTAGGGAAAGTACAGGAGCGTCTAATGTACCAACAACACTAACCCTTCATATGACGAAGTAACTGCCCCATGATAAGTTTTTTCCTTAAGGATGTACTTTACATTAAAGCAAACTCCAGTAGGAAAGTATTAATACAAACGTTTCATAACGTAGTAAAAAGCGATACATTGTAAATCTTTCTTATATGTCGCTTAGCCAATTGTTTGTGGCACAACTTCCGTATCTTTCAATTGATCCATGAGCCTCTGCTAGCACAGTCATCAGCTTTCTAGCAGCACAGTAGTAGTTTCCCATTTCAGACCGTGTGATCCACAAGGCAAATAGACTATTCACATGTATTCTTGACATCGGCGTATGAAGGGACGGCGTAGTCTGCACTAAGCTTAGCAGCCTTTACTTTCCTTATGGGACCGAGTGGTTCGAATCCGGGTTCAAGTCAGTAGACCGTCCCTGAGTCCACCCAACTCTGATGGGTAGCTAACTCCTGTAAGGGAAAGTAAAGGCGGCTGGGCATAGTGTTGACCACACTATCTCTTCATATGCCGAGGTCACAGAAACAAGTGAACTCTACCTCACTTGCCCCATAGACCGTCAGGTTTAAAAGGAAAACTTTACTCTTACTTACTTTACTTTCCTTAACGTGAGGCAGGTACCCATCAGAGCTGATGGAAACAGGGGGCGTAATGCATTCACAAGTAAGAACTGACAACTCAAATTCGGGCTAACAAGCAAGCGCTCTACTCCTCGACCACGCCATAATACAGACTATAGTAAATTTTATTTTCAGGTGCGTAAGTCTCAAATAACAGGTGGAGCGGTGTTTGTGTATTTTTGCTGCCTTCGTGTAAGAAAGAAACGTATGCTCGCATCTGCTTTCAATAGGTTAGGTACCCGTCAAATGCTGAGTTGACTCATGGAGGGAAACAATTTTAAAAAATTGAAAAAAAAAACAGACTCCAGTCTTTTGTATCATCATTCATTTACGCTACCACTCGACAACGTCTTTTCCACAACAACTTTATAAATACAAAACTCCTATAAAACTGGGACAACCCAGAAACTTCTAGACTCACTTTCTCCGTTACAGTACGGGATACCGTTCTTGTCCTCCTTGGGACTCTGACAGTGGCGGGCCATGTAGCGACGCCCCTGCCCACAGTAGACCCCGGGGGTCAGGCCGTAGATGTCCGTCTCGTTCCGCCTCTGACGGCTGGAGCTCAGGGACATCTGGGCGAACCGTGTGTCTTCTTGCTGGAGAGGGAGAGGGCGTTACGTTAATTAGTCAATAATCCCAACATCAATTCATTCGGATTAAGGTTATTCACTAATCCCAGCGTTCATTTGGTGGGATTAAGGTTAGTCACTAATCCCAATATTGTCACAATGAGATTAAGGTTAGTCAATAAACCCACCATTAATTCATTATGATTAGTCACCGAACCCGATTTTAACAAAATGGAATTAAGGTTAGTGATAATTTCTAAATTTAACACGATGGAATTATAGTTAGAGACCCTCCTAAGTTTTAACACATTGCAATTAAGGTTAGAGACTAGCCCTAACTTTAAAACATTGGGATTAAGGCTAGAGATCAGCCTTAACTTTAACACATCGGGATTAAGGTTAGGGACTAGCCTTAATTTTAACACAGTAAGGTAAAACTTAGAGACTAGCCCTAACTTTTTGAAGTTAGAGACTAGTCCTATCATTAATTCAATTTAATTAAAACGCTATTTAGCTTCGTGATCAATAAATAAGCCCTGTGTTAGCTAAAGATTCATATTTGGAGAATGTGTTTACGACACATTCTGAACCAACAACCGCTGTGTTGATCTAAAAGTTTTTGTAAAACATATAGTTACTCTGTGCTAACAATAATTCTATTTGATAAAATACGAGAACTTGAAATATAAAATATAAAATAGCCCTCGGTTGTGTTTTTTAGCATTAAATCCAATTTAGACGCATTTGTTGCACTATCTCATATTGTAGTCTACTAATATTATATTAAGTATCGCAATCTACAACGTCAACTGAAAACGCTAAAAAAAAAACCTACCAAACCTTTTAGTTTAGAACTTCTGCTCTAGATAATTTTTAACAATAGCAAATAATAATTTAAAGCTTTCTTTATAAGTAAATTGTGAATGTAAGGTGCAGGAATTTGAAATGAATTGAAAGTTAAGCAACGAATTATCTCCCATTTGGTAATCCATTTATTCAAGGGAAATAACTTACACATGAAAATGTAAATAAACAAAGTGTAATCAAGACATGCTTGAAAACCACAATAAAACCCTTTAAATTTGATTACGTAATAATTATACCAAATCTTTTATATTAGCTTTGTATCCGAGTCAACACAATATACTTTAATATTTGATAACTTAACTGTAGGTTTTGTTTGAAAGTCTTTATACGGTAACTTTATTATGACATACTTATAGTCAATTTCGATGACAAACGATAAATTGAATTAAGTCTATTTTATCATAATTCACCCATATATACGCAGAATTTATAATTTTGGATCCCTTAAAAAAAAAGAAAAAAAAAAAAAAAAAAAAGGATCCCTTAAATTTAAGGGACAACTTTAAAAAAAATAACGAATTAATAATTGCAATTGCCAGCATAGAAATTGCGCGAAAAATCAAATACTGGTAACTATTTAAGACATTGCTATAATTATTGATTAAATATAAAAAAAAATAATTTGAAAAAACAAAGTTTACGGTTAGTTATGAATTCCAGCCTATTTAATATTATATATTAATACTTTACGAGTGGTAATATATATTCCTAGAAAAAAAAGCGCCCTGCCGGGGCGCCATCCCTACGAGTTTGAAAATGTTTTTAGCGCAAAAACCTCCCCAGGAGTATTCTCAACATCTTCCCAAAGTTTCATGGCGATCGAGTGAACAGTGTCACTACAATTCACTTTTATTATTTTTATATACCACATGTAGAGAAAAATCGCACCCTCCCGAAGCGCCGCCCTTGCGAAATTAAAAAAATAATTTTTGCAGGACCCTTCCCTTGAGTGTTCTAATCAGCTCTCCAAAGTTTAATGGCGATCGGATGAACGCTGTGAGAACCGTTATCGACGTGTTTTTTTATATACCGTACATAAAGAGAAAACAAATCGCGCCCTGCCGGGGCGCCACCCCTGCGAATTTGAAAATGTATTTTGAGCAGAAACCACCCCAGGAAATTAAACAAAAGATTAGTTTGTAGAAGCCTTCCCTTGAGTGTTGTAATCAACACCCCAAACTTTGTTGGCGATCGGATGAACGGTGAGAAACCGCAATCAACTTAAATTTGTATATACCTCCCCCCACGAAATGGCGCCCTAGGTGACTGACTAGTTCGCCTTACAGGTAGCACCGGCCCTGCACACATTCCCCTAACGTCACCACTACTCCCCCTCCCCCTGACTTCAGCATTACCCAACCTCCCCCTGATGTCACCACTACCCACCTTCTCTCTGACGTCACCGCTACCAACTCTCCCCTGACGTCATCAATACTCCCCCTCCCCTTGCCGTCACCCCTACCCACCTTCTCTCTGACGTCAATGATACAGTCCGACCAGGCACCCAGCACCAGAGGCAGCTGATTCTTGCAGACACAGTCCTCGTGTTCATCCCGTGGGTACATGCCCGTGTCCCGGCAGTTGGTTTTGTTCTCCGCTGGGGGACAGAAACATCTCAACATTAGGCACCATAAGCATACTCAACACATCACAACATCAGCCAACATCAGCATACTCAAAACTTTAACATTCACATGCATCGACTGATGGGACAACATCAAGATGAACATCCATCCGAATCAGTGGTGTCACGATATTGGGTGTCACCTGGTGGGGTAAGTGAGGGCGTCACCTGGTGGGGTAAGTGAGGGCGTCACCTGGTGGGGTAAGTGAGGGTGTCATCTGGTGGGGTAAGTGAGGGCGTCACCTGGTGGGGTAAGTGAGGGCGTCAACGGGTGGGGTAAGTGAGGGTGTCACCTGGTGGGGTAAGTGAGGGTGTCACCTTGTGGTGTAAGTGAGGGTGTCACCTGGTGGGGTAAGTGAGGGCGTCACCTGGTGGGGTAAGTGAGGGCGTCACCTGGTGGGGTAAGTGAGGGCGTCAACGGGTGGGGTAAGTGAGGGTGTCACCTGGTGGGGTAAGTGAGGGTGTCACCTTGTGGTGTAAGTGAGGGTGTCACCTGGTGGGGTAAGTGAGGGCGTCACCTGGTGGGGTAAGTGAGGGCGTCACCTGGTGGGGTAAGTGAGGGCGTCACCTGGTGGGGTAAGTGAGGGCGTCAACGGGTGGGGTAAGTGAGGGCGTCACCTGGTGGGGTAAGTGAGGGCGTCACCTGGTGGGGTAAGTGAGGGCGTCAACGGGTGGGGTAAGTGAGGGTGTCACCTGGTGGGGTAAGTGAGGGTGTCACCTGGTGGGGTAAGTGAGGGTGTCACCTTGTGGTGTAAGTGAGGGTGTCACCTGGTGGGGTAAGTGAGGGCGTCACCTGGTGGGGTAAGTGAGGGTGTCACCTGGTGGGGTAAGTGTGGGCGTCACCTGGTGGGGTAAGTGAGGGTGTCACCTGGTGGGGTAAGTGAGGGCGTCACCTGGTGGGGTAAGTGAGGGCGTCAACGGGTGGGGTAAGTGAGGGTGTCATCTGGTGGGGTAAGTGAGGGCGTCACCTGGTGGGGTAAGTGAGGGCGTCACCTGGTGGGGTAAGTGAGGGCGTCAACGGGTGGGGTAAGTGAGGGCGTCAACGGGTGGGGTAAGTGAGGGTGTCATCTGGTGGGGTAAGTGTGGGCGTCACCTGGTGGGGTAAGTGAGGGTGTCACCTGGTGGGGTAAGTGAGGGCGTCAACGGGTGGGGTAAGTGAGGGCGTCACCTGGTGGGGTAAGTGAGGGTGTCACCTGGTGGGGTAAGTGAGGGTGTCATCTGGTGGGGTAAGTGAGGGTGTCACCTGGTGGGGTAAGTGAGGGTGTCACCTGGTGGGGTAAGTGAGGGTGTCACCTTGTGGTGTAAGTGAGGGTGTCACCTGGTGGGGTAAGTGAGGGCGTCACCTGGTGGGGTAAGTGAGGGTGTCACCTGGTGGGGTAAGTGTGGGCGTCACCTGGTGGGGTAAGTGAGGGCGTCACCTGGTGGGGTAAGTGAGGGTGTCATCTGGTGGGGTAAGTGAGGGCGTCACCTGGTGGGGTAAGTGAGGGTGTCACCTGGTGGGGTAAGTGAGGGTGTCACCTGGTGGGGTAAGTGTGGGCGTCACCTGGTGGGGTAAGTGAGGGCGTCACCTGGTGGGGTAAGTGAGGGCGTCACCTGGTGGGGTAAGTGAGGGTGTCACCTGGTGGGGTAAGTGAGGGTGTCACCTGGTGGGGTAAGTGAGGGTGTCACCTGGTGGGGTAAGTGAGGGCGTCACCTGGTGGGGTAAGTGAGGGCGTCAACGGGTGGGGTAAGTGAGGGCGTCACCTGGTGGGGTAAGTGAGGGTGTCATCTGGTGGGGTAAGTGAGGGCGTCACCTGGTGGGGTAAGTGAGGGCGTCACCTGGTGGGGTAAGTGAGGGTGTCACCTGGTGGGGTAAGTGAGGGTGTCACCTGGTGGGGTAAGTGAGGGTGTCACCTGGTGGTGTAAGTGAGGGCGTCACCTTGTGGGGTAAGTGAGGGTGTCATCTGGTGGGGTAAGTGAGGGTGTCACCTTGTGGTGTAAGTGAGGGCGTCACCTGGTGGGGTAAGTGAGGGTGTCATCTGGTGGGGTAAGTGAGGGTGTCACCTTGTGGTGTAAGTGAGGGCGTCACCTGGTGGTGTAAGTGAGGGCGTCACCTGGTGGGGTAAGTGAGGGTGTCACCTGGCGGGGTAAGTGAGGGTGTCACCTGGTGGGGTAAGTGAGGGCGTCACCTGGTGGGGTAAGTGAGGGTGTCACCTTGTGGGGTAAGTTAGGGTGTCACCTGGCGGGGTAAGTGAGGGTGTCACCTGGTGGGGTAAGTGAGGGCGTCACCTGGTGGGGTAAGTGAGGGTGTCACCTGGTGGGGTAAGTGAGGGCGTCACCTGGTGGGGTAAGTGAGGGCGTCACCTGGTGGGGTAAGTGAGGGCGTCACCTGGTGGGGTAAGTGAGGGTGTCACCTGGTGGGGTAAGTGAGGGCGTCACCTGGTGGGGTAAGTGAGGGCGTCACCTGGTGGGGTAAGTGAGGTTGTCACCTGGTGGGGTAAGTGAGGGCGTCACCTGGTGGGGTAAGTGAGGGCGTCACCTGGTGGGGTAAGTGAGGTCGTCACCTGGCGGGGTAAGTGAGGGTGTCACCTGGTGGGGTAAGTGAGGGCGTCACCTGGTGGGGTAAGTGTGGGCGTCACCTGGTGGGGTAAGTGAGGGCGTCAACGGGTGGGGTAAGTGAGGGCGTCACCTGGTGTAGTAAGTGAGGGTGTCACCTTGTGGTGTAAGTGAGGGTGTCACCTTGTGGTGTAAGTGAGGGTGTCACCTTGTGGTGTAAGTGAGGGTGTCACCTTGTGGTGTAAGTAAGGGTGTCACCTGGTGGGGTAAGTGAGGGCGTCAACGGGTGGGGTAAGTGAGGGCGTCACCTGGTGGGGTAAGTGAGGGCGTCACCTGGTGGGGTAAGTGAGGGTGTCACCTGGTGGGGTAAGTGAGGGCGTCACCTGGTGGGGTAAGTGAGGGCGTCACCTGGTGGGGTAAGTGAGGGTGTCACCTGGTGGGGTAAGTGAGGGTGTCACCTGGTGGGGTAAGTGAGGGTGTCATCTGGTGGGGTAAGTGAGGGTGTCATCTGGTGGGGTAAGTGAGGGCGTCATCTGGTGGGGTAAGTGAGGGTGTCATCTGGTGGGGTAAGTGAGGGTGTCACCTGGTGGGGTAAGTGAGGGTGTCACCTGGTGGGGTAAGTGAGGGCGTCACCTTGTGGTGTAAGTGAGGGTGTCACCTGGTGGGGTAAGTGAGGGCGTCACCTGGTGGGGTAAGTGAGGGTGTCACCTGGTGGTGTAAGTGAGGGTGTCACCTTGTGGTGTAAGTGAGGGTGTCACCTGGTGGGGTAAGTGAGGGCGTCACCTGGTGGGGTAAGTGAGGGCGTCACCTGGTGGGGTAAGTGAGGGCGTCACCTGGTGGGGTAAGTGAGGGCGTCAACGGGTGGGGTAAGTGAGGGTGTCACCTGGTGAGTTAAGTGAGGGTGTCACCTGGTGGGGTAAGTGAGGGCGTCACCTGGTGAGTAAGTGAGGGTGTCACCTGGTGGGGTAAGTGAGGGTGTCATCTGGTGGGGTAAGTGAGGGTGTCACCTGGTGAGTTAAGTGAGGGTGTCACCTGGTGGGGTAAGTGAGGGTGTCACCTGGTGGGGTAAGTGAGGTCGTCACCTGGTGGGGTAAGTGAGGGTGTCACCTGGTGGGGTAAGTGAGGGTGTCACCTGGTGGGGTAAGTGAGGGTGTCACCTGGTGGGGTAAGTGAGGGTGTCACCTGGTGGGGTAAGTGAGGGTGTCACCTGGTGGGGTAAGTGAGGGTGTCACCTGGTGGGGTAAGTGAGGGTGTCACCTGGTGGGGTAAGTGAGGGTGTCACCTGGTGGGGTAAGTGAGGGTGTCATCTGGTGGGGTAGGTGAGGGCGTCACCTGGTGGGGTAAGTGAGGGTGTCACCTGGTGGGGTAAGTGAGGGTGTCACCTGGTGGGGTAAGTGAGGGTGTCACCTGGTGGGGTAAGTGAGGGTGTCACCTGGTGGTGTAAGTGAGGGCGTCACCTGGTAGGGTAAGTGAGGGTGTCACCTTGTGGTGTAAGTGAGGGTGTCACCTGGTGAGTTAAGTGAGGGTGTCACCTGGTGAGTTAAGTGAGGGTGTCACCTGGTGGGGTAAGTGAGGGCGTCACCTGGTGGGGTAAGTGAGGGCGTCACCTGGTGGGGTAAGTGAGGGTGTCACCTGGTGGGGTAAGTGAGGGCGTCACCTGGTGGGGTAAGTGAGGGTGTCACCTGGTGGGGTAAGTGAGGGTGTCATCTGGTGGGGTAAGTGAGGGTGTCACTTGGTGGGGTAAGTGAGGGCGTCACCTGGTGGGGTAAGTGAGGGTGTCACCTGGTGGGGTAAGTGAGGGTGTCATCTGGTGGGGTAAGTGAGGGCGTCACCTGGTGGGGTAAGTGAGGGTGTCACCTGGTGGGGTAAGTGAGGGCGTCAACGGGTGGGGTAAGTGAGGGTGTCACCTGGTGGGGTAAGTGAGGGTGTCATCTGGTGGGGTAAGTGAGGGTGTCACTTGGTGGGGTAAGTGAGGGCGTCACCTGGTGGGGTAAGTGAGGGTGTCACCTGGTGGGGTAAGTGAGGGCGTCACCTGGTGGGGTAAGTGAGGGCGTCAACGGGTGGGGTAAGTGAGGGTGTCACCTGGTGGGGTAAGTGAGGGCGTCAACGGGTGGGGTAAGTGAGGGTGTCACCTGGTGGGGTAAGTGAGGGCGTCAACGGGTGGGGTAAGTGAGGGCGTCACCTGGTGGGGTAAGTGAGGGCGTCAACGGGTGGGGTAAGTGAGGGCGTCACCTGGTGGGGTAAGTGAGGGCGTCAACGGGTGGGGTAAGTGAGGGCGTCACCTGGTGGGGTAAGTGAGGGTGTCACCTGGTGGGGTAAGTGAGGGCGTCAACGGGTGGGGTAAGTGAGGGTGTCACCTGTGGGGTAAGTGAGGGCGTCACCTGGTGGGGTAAGTGAGGGCGTCACCTGGTGGGGTAAGTGAGGGCGTCACCTGGTGGGGTAAGTGAGGGTGTCACCTTGTGGTGTAAGTGAGGGTGTCACCTGGTGGGGTAAGTGAGGGTGTCACCTGGTGGGGTAAGTGAGGGTGTCACCTGGTGGGGTAAGTGAGGGCGTCAACGGGTGGGGTAAGTGAAGGGGTCACCCCACTCGCCCAAAAAAAAATGAATTCTCAGTTTAGTGTCACCCAAGACCCTTCTATTTTAATTATTATAACACTGTTTTCATCTTTTCCTTTTTGTGCCCAAGACACAATGGACCGCCACAGAAAGCTCCCTCTACTTTTGTCGTTCACCGGTAATTTTCTCGGTATAATATGATATATTATGATATAATACGATTTAATATGATAAAATATGATAAAATATGATATTATATGATATAAGACGATATAATATGCTATAATATAAGATGATAATATAATATGATGTAATATAATAAAATAAAATATGATATATATTACAATCTGATATAACACGATAGAATATGATAGCATATGATATGATATTCTATAAAATATAATATGATATAATATGATATAACGTGATATAATATGGTATAACATGATAGAATATGATAGAATATGATAGAATATGATAGAATATGATATATGATATATAATATACTGACCAAGAATAGTCCTGAACCGGAAGCGGCTGGTCAGACAATTGGGCCCACACTCCGTCCACTCCGACCACTGCGACAGCAGACACTCCGTGTCACACGGCCTGTAGCAGACCTCTGTCAGGGGCGGCATCGACCCCAGCTGCTCCATACACACGCTGTTGTTCGCCTGCTTCGTCTCCTGGCTGTTGGTGTGCTTGCACGTCATGTCTGTGGTGCGGGATCAAACCCCAGAGAGAATGAGATTTTTTTTTCATTTTTGTCGTTTTCAATAGAATCGTGATAAATTTGAATATCATTTGTAACAATTTTTTTAAACATTAACAGGAGAAACCTTAACATTATTATCATACTTAAAAATGGTTAAAACACTATTATAAAAAATCATCATTAGCGAATCTATATATACAAACAATATATAAACATTATAAACGTGTACCAAAGAATTTGGCTATTAAATATATTACAATACATTTTATAAACACCTGAAATGAATATACTCTACTTTGTTCTAACTTTTAGTACAAATCTTTCTCGTATTAATTTTTTTAACGAAGATTTCAATAAATATATTTCAAGAAATTGAAAAAAATCCAAAGAAATATTAGGTATTCACTTAAAGGGAGAAGACTGCATAAATGAAAAGTTTTACTGTAAACTGATGTTATTTCCCTTAGGCTAGAAATCAAAAATTGTTGTTTCAACAAAACACTGAGGCATCAAACAAAATTTAAAAACATTTCAAAGATTAAGAAAAAAAATGTGTTTGTATATATGTGTGTGGGGGGAGGAGGGGTGGAAAGGGGGTGTGTGGTAAGGTAAGGTGTGTGTGACTGGTATTCTAGAAAAAACTTTGTAGGGTGGTGAGGGGGCGTGTCGGAGGGGGGGGGGAACCATAAGTGTGTATGGTATTGTAAAAATGTAGTTGATGGTCGTAACTGGTACTAAAATTCTAAAGAAATTGTTAACTAGGTTGTAAATAACGATATAATGAGCATATGCGGGAGGATGTAAATACGATTGTCAACGAAGTTGTAAAACATGTTGTAAATAGTTTTGTGAATGAGGATGTAAATAAGATTGTAAATAAGTTTAAGAATAAGGATGTCAATACGTACTTAAATGAACATGCAATAGAGGTTGTAATTACCATTGCGAATGAGGATGTAAATAAGTTTATGAATACGTTTGTAAATGGGAATGTACATAAGGTTGTAAATAAGGTTGTAAATACCGTTATGAATGAGGCTGTAAATAAGTTTGTGCATGAGGATGTAATTGAGGATGTAAATGAGGTTGTAAATGAGGTAGTAAATGAGAATCTAAATGAGGATGTAAATGAGGTAGTAAATGAGGTTGTAAATAAGATTGTAAATAAAGTTGTAAATACAGTTGGTTGTAAATGAGGTTGAAATGAGGATGTAAATGAGAATGTAAATGATGATGTAAATTATGATGTAAATTATGATGTAAATTACAATGTAAATGAGGATGTAAATTAGGATGTAAATAAGATTGTAAATGAGGACGTAATTGAGGATGTAAATGAGGATTTAAATGAATATGTAAATGAGGATGTAAATGAATATGTAAATGAGGATGTAAATAAGGATTTAAATGAATATGTAAATGAGGATGTAAATGAGGATGTAAAGGACTCACCACGGGCACGCAGCCCCTGACCACAGGGAGGGGAGACGGGGGGCAGCACACACTCGCTCCACTCCGAGGGCTCCCAGAAGTAGGTCTCACAGACGGGCAGGAAGTAGCAGACGTCCTCGTCCCTCAGGTCTTGGGGGCACTCGATCCCCCCGTTCTGGGGGTAGGTCGCGATGTAGCGCCGCCTCTGTCTCTTTGGGTAGAGCTGGAGGGCTGCGACAAACGGGGGTGGGGGAAAGGGGTGATACGTTCGTTAAAAATAATATATGTTTAGATAAAGATGTACTTCACGGTAGTCAGTTCTATTTCAGTAAAATTCGACGAAAATCAGATTTTTTAAAATAGTTGATACTTATTTTTACAAGCTTTTACTTAGTTCACAATGTCTGTTTGTTCGTTTGTGGTTTGTGGCAAATTTTGTAACTTAATTTTGACCCACTTCTAATGCAGCGATTTCGTTCAAACTAACAACATGTATTCTTCTTCAATGACAATGCAATAATATCTTTTTTAATCTAATTAGAGAGGAAATTGAATTTTTAAAAAAACTTTATACAATAATAAAAGGGGCTCTCGCGGTCGGCTGATATTTTGATTGCATGTCGACATATATCTAAGTGACGCAGATAACTATTTTTTAACAAATCACATATGGCATTGGAGAATTAGAGGAGCAGCCATGACATACAGGTGAGACTGTGAGAATTAGGTGACAACATAAGACCTACAGGTGAGAATTAGTGGTGACACAATAAGACATACAGGTGAGAATTAGAGGTGACACCATAAGACATACAGGTGACACCATAAGACATACAGGTGAGACCGTGAGACATACAGGTGACACCATAAGACATACAGGTGAGAATTAGACCTAACACCATAAGACATACAGGGGAGAATTAGCGGTGACACAAGAAGACATACAGGTGAGACCGTGAGACATACAGGTGACACCATAAGACATACAGGTGAGAATTAGCGGTGACACCATAAGACATACAGGTGACACCATAAGACATACAGGTGACACCATAAGACATACAGGTGACACCATAAGACATACAGGTGACACCATAAGACATACAGGTGACACCATAAGACATACAGGTGACACCATAAGACATACAGGTGACACCATAAGACATACAGGTGACACCATAAGACATACAGGTGACACCATGAGACATACAGGTGACACCATAAGACATACAGGTGACACCATAAGACATACAGTTGACACCATAAGACATACAGGTGACACCATAAGACATACAGGTGACACCATAAGACATACAGGTGACACCATAAGACATACAGGTGACACCATAAGACATACAGGTGACACCATAAGACATACAGGTGACACCATAAGACATACAGGTGAGACCGTGAGACTCACCTTGGGCTGGAAGACACTTGACCCCACCACAGTCCGACCACTCGGACCAGTTGGTCAGACGACAGTTACTTGGGCAGACGGTAAAACACACCTGGGAATTGACGGGGCGAACTCGTCTCATACACCTGTAAGAAAAAATGGCGGCTTATGAAGGATGGGTTGACGCTTGTCAATAATGTCGTCATTTTAAGTGGTCGTTTTTGATGTAACACATAAGGGGAGGGTTAAAACTTTTTCGACAACATACGATGCGGTTATTTTTGGTATATTGCATACATGTTTATCTATTTACTCTAGATTTAAGCTTTTTTAAAAATAGATGGGTGGGGGTGGGGGTACTGGGTGATGAAAACATTTTTATGCTAATTATCGATGTCATATGATGATTTGATATGTGGCTTCAATGAGTGGGCGATAAGCTGATCACAGTTCTATCGATTGTAAAGACGACTACGTGACTCGAAGGGGTGGCAGCCCCTGGTACCTCCCCACCTAGATACGCCACTTGCTCGAACAATCTTAAATGTGCTTCTTTTTTTAGTTAGATAAACACTACTTCCTCTGCCTATATTCAGGGTTACATTAAGATAATATTAATATAAATATTAATATTGTATGAATCGCTGTATGAATAATTATCTCTACTTAGAACATCGCTTATCTTTTCTATACATTTCATCTTCTTGACATATCAATACAAATTTTGATTTTAAATTAAGGTTGCTATTTCTATATTAATAAAAAAAGCATATGACCAAATTAAAATTAAACTTTAGCTCGGGCTCAAAAAAAGAACTAAAAAAGTTGACTCAATGAATAGTTCTACGATTTAAATGTACTCACTTGCTGTCGTCTGCCGGTAGTGAGCTCAACGTCTGACACTCCACCTTTCTCGTCTGCATGCCCGAGCCGCACCCCGTGTGGACGTTCTCCGGCCTGAGTTCACACTCGCCCCACGGGGACACCTCCCACTTGTACGTGTTACAGTCAGACACGACAGGGCACTCTTCGGTCTGCTCTAGGTCAACGTCCCGGAAACAGAGGTTGCTGCCTCGGTCTGGAACAATCAGTTCCAAGTTAAGGTTATGATTTTCTTTATTACCGTAAAAAATTTGATCAGCTTTGCATTTTTGCTATAACGTGAAGCCATGGAGTTGCTAAGAAAGAGAAGTCTAACTGTTTGGAAAATTGACAGCTATTGGGAGTTAAATAATATTACGTCATTTAGACTTGTCACAATTGCAAAGTTCTTACATGTTACACATTACGTGATAACAACCTGTATTAGCACAGAGGCGTAGCGAGGGGCGGGGGGGGGGTGCGGATCGCACCGGGTGACACCATGGCAAAAAAAAATTGAGGGGGGGGGGGGTGCAAATCGAAAGTTTGAGAGGGGGAGGTTGCAAATCGAAAGTTTGAGAGGGGGGGGGGGTTGCAAATCGAAAATTGAAAGTTTGTCCCCGGGAAGAGTCGCTACGCTTCTGGGGAGGGGGGGGGGGTGACACCATTAAGTGCCGCACCGGGTGACACCCGACCTCGCTACGCCACTGTATTAGCATAATCCAGTTTCACCTGTCCCACTTTACCCGTCAAACAATAACTCAGTGTAGCTTGTCAAGCTATACACTAATGTCTTATGTGTCCTTCTTTCGAGCCATTAACCATTTATACATACCCACAACATGTTTCACCTCGTAATGTGTGAAGTCTCACCTCACCACGTATCAAAGTCTCATCGCATCTCGTGTCACCTTCAAGTCTCACCTCACCACGTATCAAAGTCTCATCGCATCTCGTGTCACCTTCAAGTCTCACCTCACCACGTATCAAAGTCTCATCGCATCTCGTGTCACCTTCAAGTCTCACCTCACCACCTGTCACCATCACGTGTCACCATCAGGTCTCAAGTCATCACATATCTCACAATATATCACGTGTCACTCTATTATCACGTGTCACCCCACTACCACATCTCCCCATCACGGCCCACCCCCTCATGAACCCAACCCCCTCTCATGAACCCCACCCCAAGACCTCTCACCTGTGCCCTTATGTGTCAACACCAGCCTCTGTCTCCGCCTCCTCTCCCCCCTCCTGACCATCCCGTAGCTCGTCTCCACTGTGCAGGGGTTGGGGCAGGCTGACCACTGGGTCCACTCAGACAGCACGCAATCCCCCGGGCAGGGGACGTAGCAGCCCGCCCAGGTGGGTTCAGGCCTGAGGTACTCATGACACAGTCGTTCTCGAGTTTTCATCTGGTAGAACAAAATATATCAACACATGTTGTAGATTTAATCTTGAAATAAACAACATTCAAATATGATTGAAATGTACTTACATTAGATTAAAGTGTTCATTTTACATACGGGTAATCCGTGGGCTAAATTATAGGGTAAATAAGTTCCTTTCCAGGCTGATGGTCAATGGGACAAGTGAAGAAGAGTTTGCCTGTTTCTGTGACCTCGGCATAGTGTGGTTAGCCGCAACAGTAAAACATCTCTTTGTAAGTAGGGAAGCCGGACGTTTTCCCGAAAGACACTTGCCCGAATGCCGTTTTCCCGAAGGCCGATTTCCCGAATGGACACTTGCCCGAATGCGACAAAGGCCTGAATGGACACTTGCCCGAATGCGACAAATGCCCGAATGGACACTTGCCCGAATGCGACGAATGCCCGAATGTCACTTGCCCGAAGGCCGTTTGCCCGAAAAATGTTAATATTAGATAATAAATAATTTTATCAAATAGAGATTCTTTATCAATTTAAGTTTAAAATTTTGATAATAAACACAATTCTAGCATAAAAAAAATTTTTTTTATAATTTTAAAATTTAGCTTTTATTTTTTTTTCCGTAATTGAGAAATGGCTGTAAAAATTTTTTTTTTTCTTTAATAAATGTAAGGTGATGTCCTGACACTATTTTGATGTCAGTTTTGAACACCTTGTTTAGCCGACGTGTTGCGGTGGTTATACAGCGCTTATGACATGGTGTAGCCGGCGCGGCGTCTCGCAACATTGAACAGAGGCGCGTTTGTTTGTTTATCTTATTATGCTACACTTGTGTGGTGATCATTTCACAATAGAACTAGGCGCGGTCTAGGCGGCGAATTTAAAAACTAAAGATAGTCAAATAAGTTTGATCTTCATTTAATGCACCTTGTTTAGACAAAGTGTTGAAGCGATTAGTTAATAAAGAAAGCAAAACTCATTTTTAAAACTTGTGATAAACGAAAATGATATTTTGTCTTGTTTTATAGATGGAAGACAAAGTATGTTTCTACACTTTTTATATAGCAAATACTAATTAATTTAAAATGTCTGCGTGGTAATATATAATATTATTTTTTACATTCTTTTTGCGAAGATACGTTTTGTGTATCAACATTTCAAATTTAAATTGATTACGAATGATTATTTGGTAAAATATAATGTTAACATTTTTCGAGCAAACGGCCTTCGGGCAAGTGGCATTCGGGCATTTGTCGCATTCGGGCAAGTGTCCATTCGGGCATTTGTCGCATTCGGGCAAGTGTCCATTCGGGCATTTGTCGCATTCGGGAAAGTGTCCATTCGGGCATTTGTCGCATTCGGACAAGTGTCCATTCGGGCGTTTGTCGCATTCGGGCAAGTGTCCATTCGGGCATTTGTCGCATTCGGGCAAGTGTCCATTCGGGAAATCGGCCTTCGGGCAAACGGCATTCGGGCAAGTGTCTTTCGGGAATTTGTCGTAGACCCGTAAGTAGAACCCCCCCCCCCCCCCCCCCCCCCCCACCACAGTATTAGGCTCTCCTTATGGTTGAGCAGCATGACAGCATTTTAGAAGCAAAGATGACATGTACTCACCCCGTCCTTTTCACCTACCACCTGTACTCACTCCTTTAGTATCACAGACCACCTGTACTCGTGGTAGTAGGTGGTACTACAGGAGGGGGTGATCTCTTAGATAACGTGTAAATGTCATAGATCACCCCCGACACCTTTGTTTAAATGACAGAGATCACGCCCAACACGTTTGTTTAAATGTCATAGATCACGCCCGACACCTTTGTTTAAATGACATAGATCACGCCCGACACTTTTGTTTAAATGACATAGATCACGTCCAACACTTTTGTTTAAATTACATAGATCACGTGTTACTCACCCCGTCCTTTACACCTACCACCTGTACTCACCCCGTCCTTATCCACACACTCAGCCCTCTTGATCTGCGAGCCGTTGCCACACGACCCCTGGTTGGGCTGGCACACGTCTAGGGTGATGTTCCACATGTAGCACGGCCCCGGGATGCACGTCCGGGTCTCACTCAGGTGGGGGCAGAGCTTACCCAACGTCCCGGGGAGCGTCAGTACCTCACGTGTACGGAACTTTTGACCTGTGACATTGTCAGTGGATACCATTGTCAGCTGTCAATGTTCGTTTTGTGAAGATAACACTAAGATATTGTCAGTGTTTAACATTGTCATCTGTCGATGTTCATTTTGTGAGGATAACACTCAGTTCATTAAATGAAGATACATTTTGGACCTAAGAGTTCGTAAAGCACATGAAGTAGATGTCATTTTGTTTTCTTGATCACATTGGCGTATGAAAAGGAAGGCGTGGTTAGCACTATGTACAACCACCATTGGCGTAGGCAAGAGGGGTATATGTATATATATATATATATATATATATATATATATATATATATATATATATATATATATATATATATATATATATATATATATATATATATATATATACATGACTTAATACATTGGAAAAAATATTTGAACCCTTCCCATGACCAATTCCTGGCTACGCCACTGACAACCAGCTAACAACTTGACCTAGGTGAGTAAAGTAACCTGCAGAGCTGGATGGACGCAATCACGTGACACATATACGAGCTCACACTCACTCACCATAGGCGGTTTCCGTCCGTTTCCTGCGGATGGCTGGCCGCTCACACTGCTGGTCTATGCACGTGCTCCACTCTGACCACTGCGACACGCTGCAGTCCCAGTTGCACTCCATTGCGCATGTCTGTGACACGGCCGGCTTCGGTTCAGTGCACCTGGACTCGTCCACCGGCCGCTCTTGTTTGTCGGCTGTCACCGATATGTAAACAAATAGGTATGAACAATGTCACGTGATGTAAGCTTAGGCAACATATGTGGAACCCAACACCTTTCATCAAATACATATCGCCACACCCAACTGAACCTCAATGACGACAATTACGGCCCAAAATTTACCATGTATTTATACATATATATATATATATATATATATATATATATATATATATATATATATATATATATATATATATATATATATATATATATATATATATATATATATATATATATATATATATATATAATATATAAAGCTCAGTTCTGTAACGTGTGGCAAATAAGTTTGTCGTTGACAGTTCTATGGATTTAAGTGTTAGATTTTTTATCGTGCTCATAGTCTAAATTTACGAGTCAAAAAATTACCATTGAAAGTCTTTAAAAACAATTTTCACTCTATTTACTTAGAAGAATAATTTTCAATTATGAACGCGACATAAAATTTTTAAAAAGTGTATCGACGTTTATAAAATTTCTAAAATTGTGTCGGAAAAGTATTGACTGCACAGTTACTTCCCTTTAATAAAAAAAATTCTTAAGAAGAAAGAATTTACATTTTATTACTTTGTTTTTGGTGTTAAGAAAAAAAAAATAATTACATAATTAGCGGGGATTGATTAAGTGCAATGTCGTTAGGTATTTTTAACACTGCCTTTTATTTATTCTATACACTGAACATACTGTTCAATAATTATTATTTTTTTTTTAAATCAATAACATTTAATAAGCCAGGTCCTACAAATCCTATATGTTTATTTCTTTCCATTTACGGATAAGCTTGGAGTATTATCATTTTTGTTCACTAAATTGAAACAGGCGCGTCCGCCGGCGCCCTTGCACGGTTCGATTTGGCACCCTGGGCTATCATGTGAGCGCTATGCTGCATAGTTTTGTTTTTAACAGTGCGATAGACTATGGGTAAGAAAGGTTACTATAGTCTTTAAGTGAATCAAATCCGGGCGTCCTCCGGCACCCCGACAGGGTGCTATTTGGCGCCCCGGGCCTTCTGGTGTACGCTATGGTATATACGTTCGCGTGAGTTCAAAAGACTATGAATAAGTTATGTACTATAGTCGTTTACTAAGTTCAATCAGGCGGTGACGTCATGGTGCGTCCTCTGGCGCCCAGACAGGGTGCTATTTGGGGTCCCGGGCCTCCCGTGTTCGGTTTCGCGCCTACGTTCATTAAAGTGAGTGCAAAAGACTATGAATAAGTTGGGGTACTATAGTCGTTTATTAAGCTGAAACAGGCGATTCCGCCCCGGGCTAGACTCTGAGCACTGTGCGTTTATGTTCGCGTTAGTGTTTTCTTTGTGTTTAGGTTGGGTTTGCGTTAGTGGTTGCGTTTTGATTTGGTTCGTTTTTGTTCTTTCTTTTTTTCGTTTTCGTTTGTGTTTTATCTTTTTTGCGTTTGTGTTTGTATTTGTGTTTGTGGTTAGTTTTGCGTTTGTATTTGGTTTGTTTTCGTTTGTTTTTTCGTTTGTGTTTTTTTCTTTGGGTTTGTGGTTGGTTTTGCATTTGGATTTGGTTTGTTTTCGTTTGCTTTTTCGTTTGTTTTTTTCTTTGTGTTCGTATTGGTGTTTGTGGTTGTGGTTGGGTTAGTTGTTAGGTTTTTGTTTTCGTTTGTATTTGTAATTGTGTTAGCGTTATGTTTGCGTTTTGTTGTTTTGGTTTTGGTTTGGGTTTGCAATGCCGGGTTTATGATGATTACTAAACACACAGGTAATGGTCTTTAACAGAAAGGTTTTTCACAGAAGCCAGAGCAGGGCCTGGCCGGGACGGCTAGTATATATATCTAATATATAAAGCTCAGTTCTGTATGTAATGCATTTGTATATCGTTGGAATTGTACGAATTTAAGTGTTAGAAAATTATCGTGCGCATTTGTCTAAATTTATGAGCTAAAAAATTACTATTGAAAGTGTTGGGAAATAATTTTCATTTTTCAAATTACAGTAATAATTGTCGGCATGTTCATTAAACACAAGTTTTAAAAAAAATATCATCTTTTACAAAAATTCTAATTATGTCTTTATTTAGTCCTATAGCACTTACTTCCCTTTGATAAATTAGGAAAAACACAATTACTTCCCTTTATAAACCCATTGCATTCCGTGAAAATAATTTACTTTTTAATTACTTTGTTTTGGTGTTGGGAAAAAAAATAATTACATAATTAGCGGGGATTGATCAAGTGCAAATGTTGTAGGTATTTTACGGATAAGCTTGGAGTATTAAAATTGTTCATCAAATTGAAACAGGCGCGTTCGTTTAAGTGAGTGCAAAAGACTATGAATAAGTTGGGGTACTATAGTCGTTCATTAAGCTAAAACAGGTGATTCCGCCCCGGGCGTTTATGTTCGCGTTAGTGTTTTCTTTGTGTTTAGGTGGGTTTGCGTTAGTGGTTGCGTTTTGATTTGGTTCGTTTTTGTTCTTTCTTTTTCGTTTTTGTTTGTGTTTTTTTTTTTGGGTTTGTATTTGTGTTTTTGGTTGGTTTTGCGTTTGAATTTGGTTTGTTTTCGTTTGCTTTTTCGTTGTTGTTTTTTTTTTTTGTTGGTATTGGTGTTTGTGGTTGGGTTTGTTGTTAGGTTTTTGTTTTCGTTTGCTTTTTTGTTTGTTTTTTCTTTGTGTTTGTATTGGTGTTTGTGGTTGTGGTTGGGTTTGTTGTTAGGTTTTTGTTTTCGTTTGTATTTGTAATTGTGTTAGCGTTATGTTTGCGTTTTGTTGTTTTGGTTTTGGTTGGTTGTGGTTTGGGTGGGCAATGCCGGGTTTATGATGATTACTAAACACACAGGTAATGGTCTTTAACAGGAAGGTTTTTCACAGAAGCCAGAGCAGGGCCTGGCCGGGACGGCTAGTATAATATATAAAGCTCAGATCTGTATGTAATGCATTTGTATGTCGTTGGAAGTGTATGAATTTAAGTGTTAGAAAATTATCGTGCGCATTTGTCTAAATTTATGAGCTAAAAAATTACTGTTGAAAGTGTTGGGAAATCATTTTCATTTTTCAAATTACAGTAATAATTGTCGGCATGTTCATTTAAACACAAGTTTAAAAAAAATATCATCTTTTACAAAAATTCTAATTATGTCTTTATTTAGTCCTATAGCACTTACTTCCCTTTGATAAATTAGGAAAACAAAATTACTTCCCTTTATAAAACCATTGCATTAGTCGAAAATAATTTACTTTTTAATTACTTTGTTTTGGTGTTGGGAAAAAAAAATAATTACATAATTAGCGGGGATTGATCAAGTGCAAATGTTGTAGGTATTTTACGGATAAGCTTGGAGTATTAAAATTGTTCATCAAATTGAAACAGGCGCGTTCGTTTAAGTGAGTGCAAAAGACTATGAATAAGTTGGGGTACTATAGTCGTTCATTAAGCTAAAACAGGTGATTCCGCCCCGGGCGTTTATGTTCGCGTTAGTGTTTTCTTTGTGTTTAGGTGGGTTTGCGTTAGTGGTTGCGTTTTGATTTGGTTCGTTTTTGTTCTTTCTTTTTTCGTTTTTGTTTGTGTTTTTTTGTTTGGGTTTGTATTTGTGTTTTTGGTTGGTTTTGCGTTTGGATTTGGTTTGTTTTCGTTTGCTTTTTCGTTTTTTTTTTTTTTTTTTTTTTGTTGGTATTGGTGTTTGTGGTTGGGTTTGTTGTTAGGTTTTTGTTTTCGTTTGCTTTTTTGTTTGTTTTTTTCTTTGTGTTTGTATTGGTGTTTGTGGTTGTGGTTGGGTTTGTTGTTAGGTTTTTTTTTCGTTTGTATTTGTAATTGTGTTAGCGTTATGTTTGCGTTTTGTTGTTTTGGTTGGTTGTGGTTTGGGTGGGCAATGCCGGGTTTATGATGATTACTAAACACACAGGTAATGGTCTTTAACAGAAAGGTTTTTCACGGAAGCCAGAGCAGGGCCTGGCCGGGACGGCTAGTATATATATATACCACAATAAGCCCACTATGTAATTTACAACATACATTACCGCTCTGATTAAATATTCGGCATTGGACCATTACAACATTGCCCTATTACATATTCCCTCACCCTATGTACCAGTGTTCTCAAATATATCTCCCCCCAAACTATCCTTCCCTTACCCGAATACATTTATAAGCTTTATTAGCCACCCCCCCATTCCCACAAATACAACCCCACCCCCTATCACTTCCCTTCTCCTTCCCGCATTTCCTCACACAAAGCCCAATGTATTTACACCGCCTATCCAAATATATAGCACCGTCATAAAATCACGGCATGTGTGCTCATCCCACATCTCTACACAAATAACACACCAGTGTGTATACATTCCACATCTCTACACAAATAACTTATAAGTGTGTACACATCTCTACACAAACAACACACCGCTGTGTACTTAACTCTACACAAATAACACACCACTGTGTACACATCTCTACACATCTCTACACAAATAGCACACCTTTGTGTACTGACTATACACAAATAACACATCACTGTGTACATATCAATACACAAACAACGCACCCGTGTGTACTCACCATCTAACTCCATACAAATCACAGTGCGGATCTGTATGCCCGTCCCACAGTTGTTGTACCCCGGCACCGGGACACATTGACCCCACGTCATGGCCGTCCACTTGGATCTACAAACCAGCACAAATTAATTAATCTAATTAATTAATTAATTATAACAACGAGATTGTTATATGTTGGTAGATGTGGTGTCGGCCTTTTTTGTCACTCGGCGTTTTAATCAATCGGCTATTTGTCAATGTTGAAAGAAACTCTGAGTGTTTGGATAGTACATATTTATAGAATGGTTTACCGTAATATGAGAGATATTCGCTCAGTAAAATGTCTACAGAACCTATGGAATAATTTACCGTAAAATGCAACATACTGGATTAGTAGAATGTTTACAGAAAATAATAGATGACCTACGTTATGCATGACCTTGGAACTTTGACCTCGTCCTTGTTGAGCCGGATGTAGTCGACCAGCTGACTCGGACAAGGCGCGCCATCTCCAAGCGGAAGTTGTATTACCTGAAAGTAGGTCACAGTAAAACAAGAAAGTAGGTCACACTAAAACAAGAAAGTAGGTCACACTAAAACAAGAAAGTAGGCACCATTAAAACAAGAAAGTAGGTCACATAAAAACAAGAAAGTAGATCACACCAAAATAAAATAAATGTATAGAATTAAGTTGCAGTCGGTATATAATACACCTTATGTTTCCAATGAAAGATATTAGCGGATAAAAATAAATCATCGTATCTTTTCATTAGTGGTTTTTATGAAGTTATACATTTGGGTTCAGAGGAAAGAGGGGGGGGGTCATTCTGTATGATATTCATGTTTGAATTATTGCTTGCACACCATACATTATTTGACGGCTTCTTATAAGTCATAGATCACGTCTGATTTACTTGCTAAAGATCTATAGGTCACGTCTAACTTACTTGCTTTAATCTCTTACACCACGTGTGACCCCTTTGTTTAAAAGTCATAGATGACGTGTGACTCACCTGCCTGGTCCTGATCATGAAGCCAGGGACGAGGATGCCATCAGGACCCACGCACGAGCTGTTGAACGGCCTGAGAGATGACCACTCGGACACCAGGCAGTCCTGCGGCTTGATGCACGTGCGGTGTGTCGTCAGGACGGTGTTGGGCAGCTTGTCTGCGCACATCCTGCTCACAGGGGGAAACAGATGGTCAATGGTCACGTGGGATGGTTGATGGAAGGGTAGTGAGTATTCGGGGGGGGGGGGGTGATTACACAGGGTGACACCATTAACATTGTGGGAGGACGTAATCACTATATATATATATATATATATATATATATATATATATATATATATATATATATATATATATATATATATATATATACATAGGCTTCATTGATAGCATAACTCAAAGATTATATTACATTAACTTTTGGAGTTAATTTCCAATATTTAATTTGGATACATATAATATGTACCGACATTCGTACTTCATGTGAAAGCTATACTTCGTCATTTTCTGTTTTTATTGAAAATAGTATAAAATAAATGAAAAATAATTACTTTAGAAAGTCACCTCCCTTGAACATAGACCATAGGACGTAGTATTTGTTTACTTTTTTCTCCAAACGTTGCTAAGTTTATATAAGATAATAGGGTATATGGACATATCTAAAAGCCCCAACGGGTTTTTACGACGGGCAAAAAGTTTTTCGTTACCCTCTATGATCGGGCTACCTCACAAAATATGATGGGGGGGGGGGGTCGTTCGGCAAAAGTTTTTTTTTTATACACAGCTCATATAAGGCGCCCGCATTCGAGGTCAGTTTTGACCCCTCATCGTGGACTTTGCGGCCGACCGGTATCGGCCCCCTTGTTCTGTCGACCCGAGGCAGGCGCCTACCAAATTTGAAGCACCTGGGGCGCAGGAATCGCCCGATCGGGCATCGAACCAGCGTAAAATGTGAAATCTATAATTTCGAGATTGTAGGCGTTAGCTATACGATCTCAGTGTCTTTTTATTTTAGGGTCCATAACCACCCCACCACAATAAGCCCATGTTAGTTGTTTGTTATATAAAATAAATGTGACCCCATGGTGTCTACACTATAATTAATGCATAAATTATATCAGCCTAATTTCTGGCCAGCCTACTTGAGTGATGTGAAGCGCCCTTTAGTCTGCACGCACGAGATGTCTCTCTTCTGGTACCCAATCAACGGATGCGACCGGATGCTCTTCATGTAGGCCGACTTGATGTCCACGCACGCCAACCAGTTGCTGAACTCATAGCTCACGGCGTTGCTGCAGTTCGGGCAGGGCGCCATCTCCGACAGCACGGGGCACTGGCTCCCCCGGTGGCGCGGGGGCACCACGACCTCGCGGGTCCTCGTGTGATTGGTCAGCTGGCAGGTGGCGTCACAGGGTGCCCAGTCCGAGAACTCAGTCACCACGCAGTCTTGCCGGCACAGCAGGTCGCACGGCTCGCTGTCTGCCGGCTCGGCCTCGATGTTTTCACACAAGGCCGGCGTGACCTTGACCTGGTCAGCCTTGCGCTCACAGGTCACGTTCCTATATCGTATGCCTTTGTTCTTGCTGCAAGACTGTACACCTGGAATACATACACAAGTTTATGAGTTACAGTGGACCCTCGAGACGTTGTGTATGGGGGGACATTGTGTGTGGGTGGGGACATTGTGTGTGAATGGGGACATTGTGTTTGGGTGGGGACATTGTGTGAGGGTGGGGACATTGTGTGTGAATGGCGACATTGTGTTTGGGTGGGGACATTGTGTGTGGGTGGGGACATTGTGTGTGGGTGGGGACATTGTGTTTGGGTGGGGACATTGTGTGTGGGTGGGGACATTGTGTGTGGGTGGGGACATTGTGTGTGGGTGGGGACATTGTGTGTGGGTGGGGACATTGTGTGTGGGTGGCGACATTGTGTGTGGGTGTGGACATTGTGTGTGGGTGGGGACATTGTGTGTGGGTGGCGACATTGTGTGTGGGTGTGGACATTGTGTGTGGGTGGGGACATTGTGTGTGGGTGGCGACATTGTGTGTGGGTGTGGACATTGTGTGTGGGTGGGGACATTGTGTGAGGGTGGCGACTTTGTGAGGGTGTGGACATTGTGTGTGGGTGGGGACATTGTGTGAGGGTGGGGACATTGTGTGTGAATGGCGACATTGTGTTTGGGTGGGGACATTGTGTGTGGGTGGGGACATTGTGTTTGGGTGGGGACATTGTGTGAGGGTGGGGACATTGTGTTTGGGTGGGGACATTGTGTAAGGGTGGGGATATTGTGTGTGGGTGGCGACATTGTGTGTGGGTGGGGACATTGTGTGTGGGTGGGGACATTGTGTGTGGGTGGGGACATTGTGTGTGGGTGTGGACATTGTGTGTGGGTGGGGACATTGTGTGTGGGTGGCGACATTGTGTGTGGGTGTGGACATTGTGTGTGGGTGGGGACATTGTGTGTGGGTGGGGACATTGTGTGTGGGTGTGGACATTGTGTGTGGGTGGGGACATTGTGTGAGGGTGGCGACTTTGTGAGGGTGTGGACATTGTGTGTGGGTGGGGACATTGTGTGAGGGTGGCGACTTTGTGAGGGTGTGGACATTGTGTGTGGGTGGGGACATTGTGTGAGGGTGGGGACATTGTGTATTTAATATCAGACAACAATCCATTTCTCACACCTACCTGGGGCCAGCCGGCAGTTACCGAACTGTGAAACGACCCACTCTACGTCGCCGGAACCTGCCGGCTTCGGGAACCGCGGCCGGTTCCTCCCGTACGAATCCACGTCCAGACCGTCGGTGTTGTATCCGGCTTTTTCCGGCCTGTCCCACGTCGACTCCCTGCCGGGTCCGGACTGGCCGTACCTGTTGCCGTCCTGCTGATGGTACCCAGGAGAGAGCGGCTCTCTGGAACCGTCGTGGTAGACATCGGGAATTCCCAGGATGACTTTTTCCGTGCACGGCCTGACGCAGATCCGGTGCTTGACGGGTTTGATGGCTGCAAGTGCGCATGCGTGGAGAAGAAATAGATTTATTACTGTATAAAAAGTGATGGTCATTTTTGTTGAACATACATACGCTAAGTGTTACTTTAACGTAATCAGTAATTGTCATATTTTTAAAAACTTTCCTATACAAATAATGTATATAAGGGTAAACCATTTTTGAAACAGTATCATATACACATTGTCTACTATTGATGTAAAGTAACCTTCACGCGTTAGATTGATGGTGAAAAACACATTCACCCTTATAACATTGATATTCATACAATATTTGTGACGTATTTGGTGTTCAAACACTATAGATTACGTTGCTAAAGGTACTTCGGTCTAGAAACATAGCAGGTTGATAAAACACCTTAGAAATAAAGTGCAAACGTCATACTACTGGGTCACATAGTGCTAACATCATGGGTCATGCAGTACTAGACTGGGTCACAGTGCTAATATCATGGGTCATACAGTAAAAGACCTGGGTCATATAGTCATTGTCCCGGGTCACACATAACTCACCTGGATCATACAGTAAAAGACATGGGTCACACATAACTCACCTGGATCACACAGTAAAAGACATGGGACACATATGACTCACCTGGATCATACAGTAAAAGACATGGGACATATAGTCACCGACCCGGGTCACACATAACTTACCTGGATCACACAGTAAAAGACATGGGACACATATGACTCACCTGGATCAAACAGTAAAAGACATGGGACACATATGACTCACCTGGATCATACAGTAAAATACCAGAGTCACACATAACTCACCTGGATCACACAGTAAAAGACATGGGTCACACATAACTCACCTGGATCACAGTTTTGCTCCATCACCTCCTGACCTGTTCTCAATATACACGTGATGTCACGTGACTGGCTCCCCCCGGGTCCGCAGGTCACGTGCAGACACTCACCCCACTGACCTGTGGACATGACATGACATTTGGTCAAACATTTGCTACATTGACATTATGGACATGACATGACATTTGGTCAAACATTTGCTACATTGACATTATGGACATGACATGACATTTGGTCAAACACTTGCTACACTGACATTGTAGACATGACATTTGGCCAAACACTTGCTACACTGACAGTATGGACATGACATTTGGTCAAACAATTGCTACACTGAAATTGTGGACATGACATGGTATTTGGTCAATTACTTGCTACATTGACATTGTGGACATGACATTTGGTCAAACAATTGCTACATTGACATTGTGGACATGACATTTGGTCAAACATTTGCTACATTGTGGACATGACATTTGGTCAAACACTTGCTACATTGTGGACATGACAGTTGGTCAAACAATTGCTACATTGACATTGTGGACATGACAGTTGGTCAAACAATTGCTACATTGACATAGTTGACATGCCATGACATGACATTTGGTCAAACAATTGCTACATTGACATTGCGGAAATGACATGACATTTGGACAAGTACTTGCTCTCAAGTGGATGTGACGTTAGGTTTAACAATAGTAAATAGACAAGGGTTTGACATTATATTAAACTTTCTGTCTATTGACATTAGCCAACACTGCCGCATTAAACTAAGGACAAGACACATGTCATGAAGTAACTTTAAGAAAATATCATGTTTAGACCAGTCATTTAAAATCCACAAAATAGTTCATAACATTAAATACAAAAACTCTATTTAAAGTTAGAATATACTTAAAACAGCAAAAACAAGCTTTGGAAAATATTGTAAAATAAAAAGCATGATTTGTGGTGATTCATCGTAAATTTATTGTTTGTTATTCCAATTACTTGGACAATCGTTAGGCACATGAAAATTAAACAAAATAAACCAGTTTATATAGTCTTCTCCTACTGTTGAATAACGCGATATATTTCATAACTGTAATCATATCTCAATATTTTTAAACATGTAATTCATGTTTTCGATCATTGGAATAAATTAAATCAATTTAACAACATAATATTTAAAATAATTTTGCAATGAATGTTTGCATATACGGGCTACAATCACTGTATCATTTGTTGGTAGGAGTTATATTGAATTATTTCCCTTGAATTGCTATTGTATCCATTGATTGATAGCACTACATAATAATTTTGATTGTATTTCTATTTAGAAGATTCTCAACTATGACAATTCTATTCAGACCATTGACAAGTTGGTTTAGCCTATCAATACATCAGTAAAATGTATGTGCTTTGAAATGTCAAAAATAATATCAGGAAATGTATTTTTGTACAACTAATAAATTTGTTCCTTTATAATTCACTAGAATACGGTTTACAATTTATTAAGGGAAGACAGCATTGTTTACTATGAGAAGTATTTATACTCAGTAATATAAATCACATACATGTATACAAATCTGGAACGTAGGAAAGACATAACAATAGACATTGGTGGCGCCATGTTCTCTGAATTCTTGTGAGAAATTTATTTTAAAGAAAGGGAGACGACTCTAGTCAAGATATCTTAGGTCAAAGTTCAGCTGTTAGGGGTCGGCAGTCAGTCTAGATCAGGAGTCGGTAGCCGTGAGTGAATACAATATTTATTTGTAAAAATTGGATACGCTAAAAAAACATGTTAGAGTTGCAGTTAGCTGGTTAGGTTTGGTGTGATGTTCGACCACTGCAATGGTTTTCTATAGAGCTAGACACACAGATACACACAGACAGAAAGACACACGCACACACACACACACACACACACACACACACATATATATATATATATATATATATATATATATATATATATATATATATATATATATATATATATGAATGTATGTATTCATATAATATCGGTCTTCCCAATACTCAAATATTCGCACGTATCCTTATTTAACAAAACAACACTATCATAACAATATGCTCCTTAACACAATACAACACACATATACAACAAAGACACAACTAACACACACAACTTTCATTACCCAACGAACTAGATCGCATTAAAAAAAAACCCACACACTAACCGAACCATTCTTACCACAGTAAAACAAAACACACCAAAAGGTTTATAGACATTTCATTCTACATTCGCTTTTTTTTCTTGTTCTTATTTCCTCTGCCCAATGTCTTCTCGTATTTTTGTTATTGCTGTATCAGCCTGCACGCTAACCTCATATGTTTTTCGTTTGATAAAAACGAAACAACTTAATGATAAAATAGCAGCACTGCGGTTTGCTTGTTCACGTATTGCGAAGATAAAAATTAATCTGATTACCCTATCGACAAGTTAGGGTGCAATGGGCTTGTTGTTTTTTTTTTAGTTGCCGTTGATGTCGAAAGTTCATTGAACAGAAGTGGGTCTATGTGGTTTTGCGAGAGTAGGCAACATTAATGGTGAAATAATCGACGGAGTGGTCTAGCGGTAGAGAGCTGGACAGCTAACCCGTAAGTCTCGAGATCGTATCCGGGTTCAAGTCAGTTGACCATCCCTTAGTCCACCCAACTGATGGGTACTTAACTCACGTTAGGGAAAGTAAGGGCGGCTGGGCATAGTGCTGACCACACTACTTCTTCATATGCCGAGGTCACAGAAACAAGCACATTAATTAATGAGATTAATTAGTAATATCACACAGGTTTATTTCCGTTACCTGAAGAGCGTCGACCTCATTGCAAGTATCGATACTCATTTTACCGCCGTTAAGACCGTATCGAATCTTTCTTTGGATAGTAACTTAAAACTAACCCTAAGCATGGCCTAAACCCTTTTAGCCGTTTTCAGAAGAAAGCCACAACCCTGTATCTAACCCTAACATTCACTTCGATACCTGCTAAAATAATTTTTAAAAAAATCGATACGATACCGCCCTGCTGGAGAGCATCTCCATCCCCCACTTGACACCATCAACCACAGCAACACGGCGAGTTGTCATTGAGCCAAGGTATCAGCCGACCTTCTAGACCCACTTCCGTGCCCTTCAGGTAGGAAACCACTCACCCCTTAGAACCGCTCGCGCGCTTAAGCATCGAATCATAACATGCAAACCCACTCACAGTTGCCTGGTGTTGCCTCAAGATGCTGAGCTCGATTCGAGCCAAAATATTTGCCTTCGTCGTGTGGTTTGGATTATTTCATTACGCAGGTAATGGGTTACGGGTCTTGGGAGATGAGAGTTGCCTCCCTTTGCCCGTAACCACTACCTGCGAAGGTGCGTGCTGACATGCGCCGAACGAATGCGGTAAATCAAAACAAACATGGCGTCCGGTACTGCAGGGGAAAGCTAAAAACTGTGACCGAAAAACAAAGTGAACAGAGGAAGTAAAAACATGCGCAGATATTCCAGAATTAAAAAAATAAATCTTACTTTCATTTTAGAAAAAAAAATAATGTAATCAATTATTTCGAAATAAATGCGAATGTTGTGAATAAGGTAAAAATAAATAAACCATTCTCTAACGTTTTTCAAGAAAATTTTAAAAAAAAATGAAAAATATATTTTCTAGGTCTATATAAGCCTGATCTAATCTTCATTACGCCAATTAAGCTAATTGACGCTTGCTGTGCTAGATATGCCGAACCCAAATATTGCCGAAACAAAACTAATTCTAAAATTATTCCCTCATTTAATTCTCGCCCAGACATTTTTTCGTCAATACTATCGACAACTACAGGTGTCAAAACTAATACCTTCAAAACGAAGCTAATTGACTGTAATTTACCGTAACTGAAGAAATTCCCTATGAACTGGCAGCTCATATATGTAATTGTTGTGGGGCTCATGACGTCATGTGATTATAGAAAGATTATTTTAAGATTGTCACGTCACTGCTAAGTTTTTAAAAATATGTTTTAGTTATATCTGTTAAAGTGATCAATAGTAAAAAGAATTGTTTTCGTTACTTTTTCTGTTCTCTCTTGGTTATTTCCCTCTATTTTTTTCGTCTCACTCACACTATCCCTCTCTCTCACTCTCACACAAATACACACGATATCTCTCTCACACACACTCACACACTATCCCTCACTCACACTCAAATACACGCACAATCTCTCTCACACACAAATACACACGATATCTCTCTCACACACACTCACACACTATCCCTCACTCACACTCAAATACACACACTATCTCTCTCACACACAAATACACACACTATCTCTCTCACACACAAATACACACGATATCTCTCTCTCCCACACTCACACACTATCCCTCACTCACACTCAAATACACACACTATCTCTCTCACACACTCACACACTATCTCTCACTCACACTCAAATACACACACTATCTCTCTCACACACTCACACACTATCCCTCACTCACACTCAAATACACACACTATCTCTCTCACACACAAACACTCCCACTATCCCTCTCTCATACACACACTCACACACTATCTCTCTCACATACAAACACTCACACTATCCCTCTCTTTCACTCGCACACAAATACACACACTATCTCTCACACACACACACTCACACACTATCCCTCACTCACACTCAAATAAACACACTATCTCTCTCACACACAAACACTCCCACTATCCCTCACTCACACACACACTCACACACTTTCTCTCTAACACACACACACACACTATCCCTCTCTCACACACACACTCACACACTATCTCTCTCACTCAGTCCCTCTGATTTTTGTCCAATCTTAAACCTTTTAATATTAAAAAATTTTGTGTTTATTAAAAAAAAAGTTTATGGATCGTTAGATGTCTAAATCAACTAGGCGGCTAATTAGGTCACTCTTTGATTGAAAACAAACATTTTGGACTTAAACTCAATAATTAATCAGCATAAGAGTGGTGAAAACTCTGGCCGTAAATATTTCTTTCACTAAGCAGACGATCGAGATGTTTTTTTTTTTTTTTATTATTTCAATACGTTGAAAATCTGTTTCAAAACTATTTAATTAATCATGGAATTAAT